GGCTGAAGGTGTTTCTCGCAGTAGGAAACCAAACACACCAGACAGGACTTGATGGCTTTCAGCTTCTTCCCGCTGCAGACGTCACAGGCCAAATCTTCAGCTCCAGCGTAGCAGAGATCAGCAGAAGCAGCTTGGAGCCCAATCTTCTTCATGTCCTCCACTAAGTCTGCTAACATGATGTTTTTCATCAGGACAGGTTTCGGTGTGAAGATTTCCCTGCACTGAGGGCAGCGCTGAACTTTTCTCTTGTACTTTTCATCCCAGCAGGTCTTAATACAGTCCATGCAGTAGCTGTGTCCACAGGGAATAGTCACCGGATCCCTCAGTAGGTCCAGGCAGATTGGGCAGGAGAACTTCACAGAGCTCCGGTGATTTACACTCTCCTCCATTCTGTTTCTTCTTCACTGAGAATGTTGCCAATTTTCCCCGTCCACTCTTCAAATGAAGGGCAGCCCGCCAGCTTCTGGACTTTTAAGGTAAGAGATAACACAAATCGATGAAGTGTCAGACCAGTAAACGGGTGAGCAGTCAGAAACTACAGTGTCAGAGATGAACTTTGTACTGGTTAGAAAGATGGGTTTTTTTTTCTTTTTACAGATGTAAAAAAAGAAACCATTTGTCCCATATTTACACGTGCATGATCAGCTTGAACTTTGGCAGTGTCATTGCCCTCATTTAAACCTGAAAGTGTAAGATAGAAATCCATTGTCTTTTTCTTTTTTTTAATCGGTTATAGATGTTCTGTTAAAAACAACTATAATGACAGGTGTCTGTGCAATGCTTTACTGGTAAATATCCTCAGAGTGTACATATTTTCATCCCATCATAAAACACTGATGGCATTAGATACTTATGCTATAATTAAATATTAATCCATTATGTTCCCATGCAGTTAAGTTTCTTTTTAATTACAGTAAGTTATTCAGTCTGAATGTTTGTGCTTTATAAAAGTCAACAGATTTTCACTCAGATTGAGATATTACTTCATGAAAAGCATTGGAGTGTATTTCCCTCTGGGATAAACTGAACCATTACATATAAATAGCTTTCATGTGGTTATTCAAAATGAAAAAGCTTTTTTCAACAAAAAAGATGAGAAAGCTGCATGTGGCACAGACACACACACTCTCCTTCAAACTAATCTGACACTGATTTAGTTTTATCTTTGACCTCTGCCCTGTTCAGCAGCCAGTAAAAACCTGGCGACGTGACACGTCAATAAAACGTATTCAGTGAACAGTTTGAAGAAGAAGTTGGGTTAAAAGACAGGTTTAACCTAAAGTTTTTTTTTTTCCAGCCAAATGCTGGCCAGCACTTTCTTTGAGAAACTAAAGTCAGGTGTCATTTGTATCTTCAAAGGTTTCCCATCTTCTTGCGTGGCCTTATTTTTTTTTGGGGGGGGGGACATCTAGCAGTAATGTAATCAAGTATAAAAAGAGCACCTTACAAAGGCATGTATAGATCAATCTGCAAAGATCTCTATCAACTAATTGTGTAGCAAAGTCAGAATGGATGAATATGGATGAATATTTATCTCAATTTGCAAAATATGTAATTGAGACCTCAGGTTGCACAGATGGCGTTCTTTTATGGAAATCACAAGTACTCTGCCAACACAGCTCATTGTACCATCCAAAAATATAGGTTAAAGCTCAGTCAAGCAAATGTGAAGCCATATGTGAACAGGATCCAGTCACATTATCTCCTCTGGTCAAACCTAATTTAAAATTGACTGAGGCAAAGTGGAAAATACTCATTTAAAAAACAATATCTGTATATATATACCTTGGTTTTAAATTTTCTTTCATCCTGTAGGAATAAAAAAACGGTTTCTTTTTATGCACTGCATTAGTTTTATTTCACAGTTGAATTCTCTCATTACAAATCAGGGCTTTCGTGTCCTCCACCTTGAACCCAGCAAACACACATCAACATACATCACATTACAGATGTTGTTAGCATTAAAACATGTCTTCAAAACACTTTTTTTTTTCACTCCTCCTTTCATAGTAAGCAGGTCTAGTTTTCCTAAAAGTACCTCTTGGGGAAACAAATTCATTTGATTTATATTTTTCTTTTGATTTGACTTGAAGTTGGAGATAACTAGCTGCAAAGAAATGTTTTTTGTTGTTTTTACACACAATGTGATAAAATGCTTCAGATTTGTCGCGAATGACTGAAGTCACATTTATGGTTTAAAAATCTGATCATCCTCAGGGCTCCGAGATTTATTTTGGGGAAAACCCATCTCAGTATGCTTGAGAATCCTAGTTTATCTACTGCTCTTTATAAAATAGGAAGTAAGTTTCTGTCTTAGATGAGGCATGATTGAAAATGTTCCCACACACACTTAAATTGATATTTTTAAAAAAACACACACACAAAAGGGCCGAGCAAGCACAGCCACTCGAGTCAAAACTGATTCAGCTCCTTTTTATCTTTTAAACTCTTCTCATTGCCAGCATTCACGAACAACGGAACATCTCAGTAAAAACAGTACGGCTGGTTTAAAGAGAACCAGAATCTGAAGTTTAAAGGCAGGTTTTCAATTAATAAGCCGAGAGATGGGTTTTCTTTCACATGTGCCTTCTTACTCGTTTTTCCTTCCAGCAACAGTCATCTTAGAGGTACAAATCTGAACAACACTGAAATTCCGGCTGACGTTGGTGTTTTTCTGACAGGATTATCAAGTGCAAAATGCAAAGGAGTTCAAGAGGTCCAGGTCAGCTTAGTCAGATTTAATATCAAACTCACTTTGAGTCAAATATAAAAAATAATCTGCCGACTCTGATGCAAGCAAATGAACCTTTTGAGCCTTGTCAGGGAGAAGTTTGGCAGCTCTGCCTCCTCAACCAGCCAACAGGTCGACCCCAAACCGGAAACGTCAACACAAAACTGACATGGACAGGGACAGACTTGAGCTGCCAGCTGGCCCGGGCAGCTGCAGCTGCAACGGCAACGACGGAAAGCTCCTCTCGGTTTGGTACAAAGCAAAAGAATTAAGACTACTGGGTTCGTAGCAGGCATAGAAGGTCAGAGGCGGATCTGCTGGTAGAGGGTTTGGCTGGTGCGGACTCAGAGCAGCCGTGAATCCCTACGAGGAACTGAGGGAGGCGGGGCTGTTGGCTGCACATCAATCACGTCACTGCTCACCTTAATACTGTCAGAGCGCTCGCCTAACACTTAAAAACAAAGAGGAAATGACTGCAACTGAGCTACTTTGCAGCCAACGTTAGTTCAAAGACAGACAGGGTATCACTTTATTGGGAACTCTGCACTGAGATTCAGTGTTTTAACCGTCTGCATCAACATATGCTGTCCTATCTGTAGCTCGCACATTTAAAGTTGTGCTAAAGCCAGACTCGCATTAAATGAACTAATTACTTATTACTGCAGATGTCTCCTCTTTTAAAAAATGTTTCTGGCTTTTTTCTTATTTGGCAGGGCAGCCATGTTGTACTTTGAGGTCCTTCGAACCCCTCAAACTTGTAGCCTCAGAATCCCACGGGGCCAAACTCTGAACCAGCAGCTCCGGCTAAAGGTAAAGGCCATGGAAAGGTCACGTCACCACATGGGGTCAACACGTTTATCCAGATGATGACTGACAATTCTTTTCAAGTTTTACAGAAAGAAACCCTTTCCTTTGATGCACACAAAACACACACACACACACACACTGAGACAGACACACGCCTCCAAAAGCTTTTCTTCAACATGAAAATGTTCCTTCCCTCTTGCTGACCTTTAAAAACTACATACACTGACGCACAGAACGATGGGTGTGTCGATGGATCAATATGATTGGTGGATGTCTTATCTCAGACACATGACCATATAAGGAAAGGGATCCATCACTGTCCATTCCTGTCATGGACTTTAATGCAGGAACTCTTTCATTATAGTTATTCAGCACCCTCCAAAAACCTTAAAGCTCACGTTTTTCTCTTTTTTTTTTTCTTTTTTTTTTTAAGAATACCTTCCTGACTACTGAAATGACATCTAAAACCTAACATGTTTTCTGTATCAACGCGGCCTTTTTGGTGGGTTTTTGTCAGGGTGTTGAGACAGTGTCAACGATGAGACCGATTCTTTTCACTGTTGCTCAACAGAGTTTTTTTTTCAAGATGCTACTGTTTTCCTACTTCACAACAGACTCACAGAGACAGACGCCGACAGAGAGCGTGATATTTACAATATTTACATTGCGTTTTGTCCCGATGTAAACCAAGAGGCGGAGAGCTGTGGACTGGCCCAAAACGTGCCACTGACTCCAGTCCCGACGCGGGCGGACACCTCGGCAGGCTGTGGAACGGATTGTAGAAAATGTGAGGTTTGAAGTCGCTCCGTAGATCAGAGTTACAGTGCAAAAGTCCCCAGAGAGGCTGAGAGCAGAGGGAGAGCCAGACACTGGGACCTATCCTGTGGAGGAATGAAAAAGGAAAGCAAGGCTCGGGGAGGCTCATTGTTGGGATTTATTTCTCCTAAAATGAATCCCTCAGCATTGTAAAAATCAAAAGTCAGTCAGAACCACTGTAACAAGGGCAGAAACGGAGCAGATCTTCCAGTCTAGAACATGTCAGGAAAAAGTACCGCCCAAGTATTCAGACTCTTCCTGCTCCGTTTGATAGAGAAAGTATGTAAAAAAAAAAAAAAAGAACTCAGTGATGAACTCAGGGATTGAACCTGTGGAACAAAGGGCTCAGATTTAGGGATGTTGAAATGAATTACTCAGCAGTGTAAACAGGCACAGTGCTCACTTGTCTCTTCTTTTTTCATGACAATGGAGTAGAAATGAGAAAAGTCTTTAGGGCGAGCAGAAGGAGAACCAGAGGGCAAAAGCATGAGGGAGAGGAGGGGGGGATAAAGGGGACGTTTCCCAGAGGGAATGGAAGACATCCTGGTCAGAGAACATAATCCCATAACCACGACATTTCTGAACGATTCAGTTTCATTTGAAAATGCTTGAGGCCCTTTTTAAACAGCCAGTTCGTACCAACGGATGTGTGAGGGGTCCGGCTCCAGGGAAATGGTAGCACCTTCATGGGGTCCCTATGTGGATAGAGCACATGCGCCGCTGGAGCAGCAGGGAGGCGACTTCATTCATTCCGAACCAACAACAGGTTGGAGCTGATCACCGCTCAGCAGCCGAGGCTCCAGGTGAGTGCAAGCAGGTCTGGACAAAAGGTCGGAAACGGTTTCCCGGAGACACCCAGAAAGATAGCATGTGCACAACGAGATGAGCCCTGGTCAATTTTCAGCACATAAACAGATGAATCCAGACCATGGGGCTGGGAGCATGTCGGACTTTTGGGGGAATTATTTGGGGGGGATGGGGGACTCAATCGCATACAAGGGAACGTGTTTTAGTTATGTCCTGAGCTTCAGTCTGGATTTAAGTCAGATGGGACCATATTTAATGTGCCATGACAACTTGAGTGGTGCAAGAGCCCAGATTTGAAAGAACTTATTCGTGCTGAAATGCTGAAAGTACGACCGATCCTACATTCGAGGGAAGGACACTGGTTCCCATGAATAGAAACCAAGCAGGCTTTGTTTTCCAGATCTATGGGGACTCATTTGGTTTCATGTAGTGTGTTCATGACGAGAAACTGTCCTCAGCAGATGTAACCAGATGTGTTTTAGATTTATAAAAGATGAGTGAGAGCTTGTTTGGTCTCAAAAAGGAACAGAACCTAAATATATTTGGTTTGGAGACATTTTTAACCCTAACCCTACATCAACCCAGATAACTGCATTTTCTGTTTCTGTTAAGGTCCTAGAAGGTGAAACGGGACTTTTCCAAGAGGGACATGTATGGTTTGCATTGGACATTTGAGACCAGACTGAGCAGCTTTGACTTTGTTTCCGGTGGATGGCACAGGGCTCCTCCCCTCACAGCGGGTCACCTCCGACCTCCAAACTGAGTGTTTCTCAGGCAGAAGGAAATATTCTCGGTGAGAAGAAACTCCTCTGATTTTTTTCATCCCCTCCTGACCAGATGCGAGGAGGCAGATGTTGAGCTTTGTTCTGTCTCCGGTCGGGGGAGCCGGGACCCCTCCTAGACGAGAGGCGAGGGGACTTGTTTGGTTTCCAGTATCGGGGATCCGTGCTCCGCCTCCAGGGCGTCTCCGCTAGCCTGGTCATCAGCGCTGCTCACAACGTTGGACTCCACTGGTGCTTCGTCCTGGACAAAAACAACTCAGTGACTTGCTATCCTAAATTTCCTTTGCAACTTTTTGTCGGTTTACACTCTTACCGTCACCCAGGGGTGGGACAGGACCTCCTCGGCAGTGAAGCGAGCGTCCACGTTCACCTGCAGCATCTGACTAATCAGCATCTGAGAGACAGGTCATGTGACTGTGAGCGCCATGGAATAATGTGCGCCATGTGTTTTTTCCTTTTGCTCAGGGCTTCAGGGCTTTTAAAACTAGTTGAGATGGTGAGTTTCATTAGATTTTTTTCAATTTATCATTACAATTTTCACCTTTCTCACCTAGCTTTCATTTTGTAGGGGAACTTTCATCTATGCTTTTAACCATTTTGTTAAAGTCTATTGAAAATATGCCAAATTAGCTGCTTCCAGAAAACCCTCAAACCTTTAAAGAGCTGGAAGCAAAATAGCAGGCATTAATCTGTGATAATTTAACTCATTACTGATGCGACATTTAACAAACTTAGTTATAATTCCATCAGCTTCCTTTAAAACTCCCTTTAAACACGTTTCCTCCTGACTAAATGAGTCCGAGAAGGTACCTTTGCAGGCAGACTGATGGTGTCCCAGTCTGGTGATGGAAACTCCAGTTTCCCCCTGAGGATCTGATCAAAAAGCTCCTCCTGGATGTTATTCTCACTGAGGAGCGAAAGGAAAAGAGTCAGGAAAAAGCTCTTAACTTATATGACCGTTACAAAAATGATAAGCTGCCCTCATTAAAAAATTTAACTAACATGAATTCTTTATTAGAATGAAGAGAATACACGGCTGCTGAATATTTACTGACCTTCTAAAAGGAGGAAATCCACACAACAGGATATAGGTGATGACTCCTGCTGCCCAGATGTCAACCTTTAGACCATAACTATACACACACACACACACACACACAGTGTCACTGAGTTTACCATCAAAAGTTTATTTGTCCAAAAGTCAAGAGAAAAATATGTCCTGGACCAAAAATGATTGCTTTGAGATCGAAATTAAATGGAGACTACAGAATGGAATCTATTGTTATGAAAAGTAAAACAAGTTAGACTCTTTCCATAAATCCATAAAAAATCTGATTTAAAAAAACATAACCTGGCTTTTACCTTTTATCTAAAGCAATGAAAATAGTTTAAGTCTTGCTCTGTACCATTTGTTTTTTAAATGTATAACTAACGATGACTGCCATGTAAAGTTTTCTGATATGAGGAAGTTCATCCTCCTGCTGCAGCTTTAAGACGCACCAGGAGTTAGCACGCCACCTGTTGTGACACTTACTGAACCATCACTCAGGGTCAGTGAGTAGAAAGGCTGTGTCTTCCCATAACAATTAGCCCGTGTTGTGGCATCCCAACTCCTAACTGTTTCCACCCTGCTCGGGAAAGCCAGCTTTCATGTTCACGCACGCCCCTCTTTGGACTTACGCACCTTAAAGTTCAGGGTGTCAACATTTAAAAAAGGCCTCCCAGTACCAGGGCCTAAAAGAAATGCTTTCAGGGGACTTTCATTTAAAAAAGATAAAACCTTTACACCTGCTGTGGCTTTTCCTGTGGATAACAAGTCCGGCCTCATGTTTTGTCTCACCCCGTCTCAGCGATGATCTCCGGGGCGACGTACGTGGGCGTGCCACACACTGTGTACAGCGGTCCTTCTACCACCGTTGCCAAACCGAAATCCCCAAGCTTCAGTGACTTGGTGCCGTCTGGATACTCGCAGACCTGCACATTGGCATTAAACGGGCACGTTTTTACATCGCTGCTGAAACGTCGTCTCAGCATTGAGGCGCAGCATCGATAACCGATGAGCTGTAAATAAACCTACACTCTGAGGTCAATTGAGCTATTTTCTGTGTGTTTTTTTTTTTGTGTGTGTATCCGATTATACCAGCAGGTTCTCTGGTTTGATGTCTCTGTGCACGATGTTCATCCGGTGTAGGTACTTGATGGCCCCGGCCAGGTTGAACACCATGGCGCTGGCGTCCCGCTCGCTGTACTTCGTGGAGGAAGTGATGGCGTCGAACAGGTCGCCGCCCTAAAACAGGGCAGAGGTGTGATAAAAAGTAGGTCCCGGCAGGGCCAGAGCGCTTTTCCATAACTGATAAAACACTTTGCTTAACTTTCTTTTTTTTTTTTTATAATCTATTTTCAAGGCTTTAAGGACGACAAAAAAAAGGAGGACAAAAAAGATGCCAAACCTTTACGAGCTCCATGACCAGGAACAGCTGAGAGGGCGTTTCATCCACCTCGATTAACTGGATGATGCTCGGATGTCGAACCCTCCTCAGGACCGCCACCTCGTTCTCTATCAGGTGCTCCTGGTGACACGAACACACTTGGGTTCATTTAGAGGAGTGAGAACATTATTGGTGCTAGTGTGCTGTAGGCCATATTACAACTATGTGCCTCTACAAAGAGAATAAATGCATAAACACGCTCAAATTCAGGGTTCGTCACAGGGTTTTACAACTAAAATTTCTCAAAATGTCAGCTTTTGAAAAAAATATCTTTCTTTCTAGTGACTTAATTCTGAACTCCTTAGACCATCTGAAAACCATTTTGAGTAGCTCGGTGTTAACAGAGGCTGCGTGCTGAGTGCATCAAATCGCTATTACCTTCCCACAGCAGCGGGCCTTGTCGATGATCTTCAGAGCATACTCCTGGCCCGTCGACCTGCGGGTCAAGCAAACAGAGGGGGTTACGGGGGTCGAGAGACCACAGGAAATCTGTGAGAAATGCGTCACACATAATGTTCATTAAATCACATGCAATCCAGTTTAGTCTTAAATTTGTCAAATTTAGATGTTAAAAAATTTTTTCTATTATTCTGTGTTATTTAAATTGACTGCGTGTCATTTAAAGTGAAGCATTTTGTGAGCTGTTTCTGGGTATTTATTTGATAGGCACATGCACAGAAATAGTCCAGCAATTTTGATCATATTGGAAAATGAGGTTCACTTTTTTCTTTGTGTAACTTGGTGTGCAACAAAATCCTTTCTGAGTAGCTTAAGCTGTAAGGAGTCTATCATAATGAGGCTTACCTTTCCACACACTCCTTCACCACAGCGAAGTTCCCATCTCCAATGACTTCCCCCACTTTATATTTCTCGTTGATGGTGGAAGAGGAAACCGTTCGGTTTCCGTTAACTGCGAAGAGGAAGAAAAAAAGGGAAACGTTGGCCTCAATGTGTCGCCCGTTTCCCACCTCTGAACAAGCAAACCTATAAGCTAACAGGGGCGCTTGCCAGTGTGACTTGTATTGACTTTCAACGCTCCACAGGGGTTAAGCCCTCACTAAGCACAGACGCCAGAAGTTCTGGGCTTTCAAATTGCCTCTGGCTCATCCGGCGGCGCTCTGAGCTTTCGGTCCTTTCACAAAATGTGTTTTTTCTTTTTTTTTTTAATCCATTTCATGTTAAGTTGAAAAATTCAAATTCTTTAGACCAGCCTTCAGACATGTCAGTCCCAAGACCTCAGCTGTGACATTTCAGGGTCACAGACGCACTCGCACAGAGCTGGCTTGTCAAAGTGTTGAACGCACACACCTTCCACAGCGTCATCCAGCTGCTCCGCCTCTCCATTGACATCTGTGGAGGAGGCCCGGCGAGGAGAGATCTGAGCAGAAGAAAATGGGAGGTTACCGCCTCCATATATGCCGGATCTGTGAGTAGTTCTGATCCGCAATAAGGAAGATGGCTTATTCAAGTTTAGGATTCAGCTTGTCTGTGATGAAAACTGCACAGGACTGGAAAACTGGAAAGGCTCATACTTTCAGACACATCTCAGTACAGTTTGTGGTCACATTGACACGATGACACGCCGGTAATGAGGATGAATTAAGTCCGTTTTCAAAAAGAGGGTGATGGCTTTTGTTCTAGAAAAAGTTGTTCAGATTTTTGACGCTAAGGTTAATTATTTAATGACTTTTCATATATTCATTCAAGCACCATTCAACGCATCAGTGACAGTCAAAGTCAGACAGACCGTACTAAAACCAAATCAAATCAGAAATCTGACCTTGAGGCTGCGGCGACTCCCGGGGCTGGTGGGAGACGGGCTGGACCTGTTTGACTTCCCAGCGGACTGCGATCCTGAGGTCTCATTGGCTGCGTGACACAGAGAAGAGCAATCCTGGTTCAGATTAAAATTGCCACCGTCCATGTATCTGTTCCTCACCACAAAGGAGGGATGTGTGAATAATAATAAACTCCCTCTATCAGTTCATGAAAAAAATAGAAATCAGGTCAGAAAACCAGGCCGGCTTGCTTTTAAGTGGGTATGTTTGTGTCGCACCTAAGCCGGGAGACTTGGTCCTGGACAGGCCTCTGGGTGGAGTCTTGGAGTAAGAGAGGCCAGAGCCGCTGGGGGTTTTGGGGATCTTCTGAGGGGCAGCTGAGCGAGGAGCTTTTGTCTTGCATTCTGAAAAAATGTTAAGGGAGGAAAAGGGGATAAAAAAACTTCAGCTTTCATTTTAAATGGAATAATTGTTATAGTGAAAACAGTCAAAATGGCGCTAAGACTAGGAGTGAGGATCAACAATGATTTTAATATCTATATGTGGCTTATTCTTCTGCAATTATCAAATCAAATAATCATCATTACCAGAATAAACACATAGACCCGAATGTAAATTGAAATCAAAGGCATTTAAAAATTAATCAGATGGCCAGAATGACTGTTTTAATCTGGTGTTACTGGTAAAAAGACAGATAAGATGTCCATAATGTAGAAACTTTGTCTCTTTTGCTTCAGTTTGAGAACATAAACCAACAGGATTTGCCAAAGATTACCTCGTGAAAAAAAAAAAAAAAACTTCCATTAGCCTTTACAAATTGTTCTGATTCAGGTTTAAAACTGACTGGTTTACTGCTGACAAAGCCTGTCATTACAGAGTCTGAGTGCTTCAGTCTGCACTGCTGAGGTGAAGTGGCCCATAAAAGGATGTTGCAGTCAGGATGTAGAGGGGCAACGTGCTTGAGAGAATACTGGGAGAATTAATCATTTTACAATTGGTTAAACGTGAACAAAAAAAAATATTGTGCAAAAGACATGAACACCCCCACATTTCTATGTCTGGAAGCAGTGCGCTCTTTTTTTATGTAATATTGTCTAACTAAAGCGGAAGAACTAAAGAGAAATGACAAAAAAGTAGCTAATTAAGAAAAATGAACCGAATGACCCACAGCGAGCCTGTAAAACAATGGTTAAAAATGTAATATGGCACTTTAATATACATTAAACAAATATTGAAAGACAAAAACGGGGCCGGCTCACCGTTGACAAAGGCCTGCGTTTTTCCACTGTGTGTGAGCACAAAGTCGTCCTGAGCGTAGCGAAATTTCTCTGGACCGCACGCCATGAACACATCGTCATCCCCGAAGAAATCCTGCAGACAGGTCAGCTACACAAACACACAAACGGGCCCATCAATCCAACCTTTAGAATCACTGTGTGCATGCATTTGTGTGTGTTTGGGGGGACAGCAGACGGCAGAAGGGAATGTCTGGATCTGGTTTGCTGCTGGCAGAGCTTCAACTGGCTGGTACACACACACACACACACACACACACACACACATTTAAACAAACCCAACCTGCTGTCTTAGAACCGTTTTGCAGATTAAATATCAATTGTTTGTGACTGTGTCCCAGATTTGAACGGAGGGTGGGTACAAAGAGAGAGGGAGGAAGGAGAAAACGGGAGATGAAGAGCTATTCAGTACAGAGAAAGGTGCGCAGTGGAGATAAGGTCACGTGAGTTCAATGGGTAAATTCATCCATTCCAGCTATTTGTTCTGAGGAGATGCCCAACAACTGGGGACATTTTAGTGGCACAACTCCATGTGGAACGTCATCGATGTGAGTAAAACTCAGAACACTGCCGGGTTTTAAGAGCATCTGTGCCTCTCAATGACCTCAGTTAGCCCCTCAGAGATCTAAGCTAAACCAGCTCTGCTTATTTGAAAGTTGCATTAAAGCTTCCATTTCCTCATCCAAACTCTTAGGCGTGGGCTGCTGTGGGACAGTTTTAAAACCCTGAGCAGAGTCTCAATCAACTAAAGGACTGAAAAAGCTAAAAAAAAGCGTGTAAATGTTGTATTTCTCCGACAGTTGTTCAGTTAGCTTGCCGAGTATGCCCTGAAAGCTGTGCCCTTGTCAACCCTGGCATATGCGCACAGTGACCGGGCACGCTTTCAAATCTCTTCCTTTACATTTAAGAGATAAGCTCTTTTCCCTGTGCGCCTGTCCTCACTTTAAGCCAGAAAAAGAGGGAAACGACTGTTTCCAAATCTATCACTACTACTCTTTTGGGTTGCACAGACAAACGTTTCTTCTATACATTCTATATATTTTCTGATTCTTGTCGGCACTGACACTTTAATTTTGGGGAAGTAGTCAAGTCTGCTGGAGATGAAGGCATGAACGAGCTTCAATAAATGAGTTCTTGACATGAGTTCTGACAGTGGAGAATTGATTGGGGTGGTGAAAAGCTACTTAAGTATCCATTACAGACTCCTCTATTTGTCCTTTGGGAATATGTAGACTGACTATGTAATATTATCCTCACCTGATTCCAGGATGCACAAAATTCATTGCAAATTGGGAGAAACAATCTAATTAAGTGTAAATAGACAACATTTCTTTGTCTTAAGCCATGGCGATATAGGGACGTTGTTAACCTGCTGAAGCAGCTAACCGAACTTCCCAAAGCCCAAGAGACGCCTGCAAAAAATAACTCAAACAAAGATGTTAAAGTGGAGACATATAACAAAATGGGGAAAAAGATCAAATTTTCTGCCAAAATCATCATGGGAAATGTGAGATTTCTGGCAGATAAAAACTGACCTTTTGGGACAACTAATGAGCACACAGCAGGAGTATGAGGAAACCTCTGCACCCCACATGTTAAGCTGTTTAAGGAGTTTAGTCTATTATAGTCCGAGCGTTGATCTGTTTTTGCATGATTTCACATGCTAAGTTGTTGCCGACATGCTACAACTAGACCCTGTTGAAAAACTAGCCTCCACAACAGTGCTCTGGGTTTTTGGAGGCAGGGTGAAGGGTTTACAGAATCACTGGGAAGAACACAGAGCTGGTACAGCAGAATCCTAATGCTGTACCGTTGCCCAGGAGATCCCAAGCCTTAACAATTCCAGGACAGGGCTGAACATTCCAGCGTGTGGCAGTAGGCTGCTACTGTAGAACTGGTTACTGTGGTAAAAACACTGCAGTTTTCTTCCCCCCCCCCCCCCCCCAAGTCTGCGTGTGAGAGATGGAGTTTCTGTCCCTCTGCTTTCAGAGGCTGCACAAACTCAAAGAGGAACTCTTCAGATGTGGTGCTTTAAAACCGACTTAGTGAAAGTGTGAAGCCGTCGGAGGCCGATGGGATTAAATCCTGCTTTGTCATTTTTGGAATATTCCCTTTAAATGACTTGGTCAACGCAATTAAATTCACAGCTTAAGGTAGCTACTCAAATATTGAGTTGAGCGGAGTAATTATTTTCAAATCGACCCTTGTCCTAGTTTTGAAACAGAGGAGCAAAATGAAGTCACTGGCTGGAGCCTGTAATACTGGACTGTGTGAGTTGACGTTCCACACATTGTTTTTCTCTGGGATTCACAGCATGCCTTGTCTTTCCCTCACTTGAATGCTGACTTGGTCAGATAATGCTGAAGTAAAAAAAATTTAATTTAATTAGAGCGAGCAACCGTCATCTGTCTGAGGGATCGTTTTTAAGGTCTAGTTTTGGATTAGAAAACAAAAACAACAGGACTGCTAAATCCCAGCTGCTCAGAATGGCTTAATTTATTTTCCCAAAGTGCAAAGTCAGAGTGTTTGGACACAAATGAGCACCCAATGGATAACGCATGTCGATAAATGAAAAACGTTCACCGTAAACGGAGGCCCTCTGTCCCGCAGACGACCTGCTGACACCACTTTTCTTTGTCTCTCTGCCGCCTTTGTCACGTTTGAAAGTGTGTCTGCAGGTGTGCGTTCACCGGTAGAAATAGTGCTGCTGCCCAGTGCGGTAAGTTTAAATCCTTAACCCCCTAAAAGCTTACCGAAGGGTCGTGGAGCAGATCTGCTGACTGCAGCAGCTCCACGGCTTAGCGCACGCACAGTTAAACACGTCGCTCAATGCAGCTGCTTTAAAGCCACAAAATAAACCCCAACAACACAATTCTCTACACGATTTGGCCCTAATGTCCAATTTTGTAAAGTGCTCTTATTTGATTTCTGCTGGCTATGCTGACGCTTGATTCGCATTGTCAATGAAATGGTCAATTGGTCTTTGTTAGACCAATACTTCCCTTATTAGGGTCGGATAATTACCTCAGTGGTGGTTTCTGTTATTTGCAATTAGCCCAAACACGATAGAAAGCCTTCTTCCTATCTGATTCACTGTGATACTCAAGGACTTGAGATTGAGGCTTCGTTGTTACGAGGTTGGGTTAAGCTGCAATTTCTACCATCAGAATATTAACAGGTCAATCAAGGAAATGCCAAAAGTGTTGCTGCGGCATCTGTACAGACCCAGAGAACGAAACAACGCCCCACCTGTTTCCCATCCAGCGTGTAAAGCCTTTTCACTGCCCCAGAGTCCAGCTTGATGGCCTCGGTGATGTCGGCCAGCACCTGGTCGAAGGAGTGGGCCGTCTTCTTGTTGAGCAGGATCCTCACCGCCTTGCGCGGCTTCACCCCGCTGCGGATCACCGTCACCAGCTTGGGCTTGATGAAGTCTTTGCTCTCCCGGCCCTCCCGGCCCTCCCGTTCTTTAGGGGCGGTGGGAGCGCTGGTCGACACGCCAGTGGAGGCCGTTGAGCTCCGGGTGGAGCTGGAGGCGCCGGCCCCGGAGCTGGCGCCGGGCTTCCAGCTGGGGACGGAGATCTTGGTGTAATCGACCTTCCTGTAAGGCTCGTTGGAAGCGCAGACATAGCACTCGCCTGAGAGGAAGGAGAACGAGAGGAGGAGGCATTTTATTAGGTAAGACAAAGTCTGTAGTCTCCTGTAGTCATGCTATGAGACATTCACCCACGTAGGGCTAGTTCACAGTTATCCCACCAGTTCTCTCATCATCTCTGCCCGATTTCTTTTTAAATGGCACACCGTATCTTAAAAGTGGGATGCTAAATCTCTTGTTTTTTTGCATTTCTATTCAGAGATGTCATGTTCTGGGTGCATCTCAACAACTTGAGTCACCTAAGACCCAGTCTGTAATACCGCTCTGGCCTAAAGAGGCATCAGCTGGCTTCCAGCTGTCAACGGTCAGACCGTAGGTCAGGAAAATGTAGGAGAAAGAAAAAGGTTGGAGTTTGGCCTGAGAAGAAAGACACTGTTTGCTTCCTTATAGTCTTGGGGTTATCAACTACTACAGATGAAGGAAAAGGCAGGCCCTGTGGAAAAGAGGGGAGGGTCAAGGGTCAAAGGGGTGCGGTCAGAGGTCAGTCCAAGCACCCAAAAATGATCCAGTGGAGTAAAATGAAAGGAATAAAAGGAGGAGCCACTATGCCGTCTCTGGGTTATCTGGACAAAAGCATTTCATTAAGATCTCAGGAAAAGATATCAGCTTGTAAAAAGCTGGGAGGGTGTAACATGTCTCCATAAGCATTTCTGTAAAAGAGTGACAGTTGTAATCAGCTGTTTTAAAAGGATTAAGCTCAGAGGTTATTTTAGGGGAAACCAGCCATCAGATGAAGTGTGGTAATACAAGCCGAGTGTCCAGGAGAGGATGAGGAGAAGGTGACAGCAGATGTCGCATTCAGCTCTCTGTCTGGACTGTGCTCACAGGACAGTCTGCCAGTCATCAGGGAGCACGTCAGGCAGTGTCACGGGCCGCGATGTGTGTGGCCAGTAGCCCAACATCTTCAACATAGTTACAGTAGTTAACGGCATGACCCCAGTGGTCGGACACCCTGATGCCTAATGGGCTGTTGGCCCCTCTCGGGTTATTAAGAACAGCTTAGACCTGCCCAGGCCAGAACGCTACACGGGTACCAGATCTGGCACCAAGAGGTTGGCAGCAGCTCTGTAATATTCTGTCACTTGTGAGACGGAGCTGCCAAGGGGTCAGGCTCGATTCCCGAAACGCATCCAGCCCGGCGATTCATATATATAATCCAACCCAGTTATGTGTAAGCCGTTTGAGAGCCACTTGGGTCTTTGCGTTTCTTCTTATGGACCAAATTTGGAAGAAGAAAGGGTAAAAAATACCCTAAATGTGGCCCTAAACCAATTTGAATTTGAAAATCTTGCACATTTTAATATTTTCTGTTCCATTTGCCTTTTATGTCATACTTCTCATCTACTGTCCAACTAATATGACAATACAGACATAAGACCAATAAAACATTGTGCCACTTCTCTTTTGGGATTTAAATCATTTAACATTTTTTAGGGTAAAGCATACTTAAAACTATTTTTACTCACATATAAATCACCCTCTATCAAGCACAATATAGTATTTTTCTTTACTACCCTGTGTGATCCTCTCCCAGCACAAATCCTAAAATCAAACTTGCCGACTGATAACAAGGACGTGTTTGATCCACTTTTGTTCACCTACTAACACGCAAATCAACATTCAACAGCAACTTCTTATCCGTTCACTCACTAGAACAAATATTGATGGAATTAACTCTTAATACTTTCCAAACACGTTAAATGATGCTCAGTGTAACTGGTTCCAACAGACTGCAGCCAATCACTGCCACCCGCTTCCTGTTTTACCTTATATGGTAAAAATGCTTCTCCTGCCATCTTTCTAAATCGAACACACACACACATCTCTGTGCCCACAAGGCTCAAAAACACACCTTTTTATCTTTGTATGTTTCACGCTCATACATCCTGATGCTTCTTCCTCTGCAGGCACTGTGTGAGTGACCTTTCCTCTCCACATGCATGTTTCTCTTTGCCGGACAGGCCAGGTTATCACTCAAATACCTGCAAGACTGATCATTAGCTGATTTCGCACAGAAGTCTGTAAAGAATTCCTTTAAAAATACAAATCATTATGATTCCTTTTTTATTTTTCTATGTTTCTGCCATTTGAAAAGCTGCTTGATAAAGAAATGTTCTATTCATTCTCTTTTAAAAGAATGAACGCTTTTTTATCCTAAAATCACCTCGTGTAAATACCGTATTTCTAGTTTTAACAATGTACACTAAAGCTGCACTGTCGACATAAATGTCAGCTACATCCCCTCATATTAATCAAAAACATATATCACTAGATCAACTGGTGAGTATTCACTAGAACGTGCCAATCGCTCTTCCCAATGCAGTGAGATTAGTGGTGCTGGAAAGCAGCCAATCGCAGAGCTGCGCGCCTCCGTGCATTTCCCCTTCTTGCATCTCTGAATGCAGCAGCAGTTGATGAGTTTCCCCACTTTGCCCTCGCATATTAAGTTTGTCGTGCTCTGCTCAGTGTGTTAAGTGCAGGAAAGTGGTGCGTCCGTCTTGGGCTCCATCTCCGGCCGAGCGGCTTCCTGCCACTAACGCTCATTAGTGGACTTTACAACAAGACGCGCGTCAATATTGATGACGGAGTGATGCTGCTTGACCGCCACCCAGTTTCTCTCCAAATCGCTTTAGGAAAGACGGGACGAGCAAAAAGGGACTGGATGTCAGCGGGGCTGTTAAATTATCCAGAAATATCGTCTTACCTTTCAACTGGCATTTCGAGAAATGATCTATCTATTTATCATATACAGGCGCGTGCAGTTGGATTAGTTCATTTTAAACAAACCACACACATACAGCAGAGAGGATCCAGTCCCCAACAGGGGAATGTCTGTGGCTCGTGGCTTCCTTCAGCACGAGACAGATAGGATCATGAGTGACTCTCAACACAGCGACTAATCAATAGTGGCTGCATTTAACAGGTCATACTTTCATACTTATTCTGCTCAAGAAATAAATACTACAGCAACAAAGATGAGGAGGATTTGATGAGGAGGATTCATTGCAGCGTGACATAGTGAGTGATATTCTCCTTTGATACCTTTGGTTCTTTTTTGACTCCACACATCAGCCTAAAGGTTGCTTGGTAGTATATCCAACATCTTTATGGACCATCGGGAAACCCTGAGCATATCCTGAACTCAAAATGGAAGATTTTCAAAGGGCTAAGTCTTTCGAAGCAAGGAAACAGATCACCATAAATGGAGGCGACCGAAAGAGCCTGACTGAGGAAACATCTTTGATTCTGGGAACTAAATATCATCTAACATCGTTTTTATGAATAATTTATATTATTTGTGTGTTTATCGATCTGATTTTCCAATGAGAAGTAGTCAGTAGCAGGTGATGTTAACTTCCTTATAGTATAATCAAATTATGTGTAGTTTGACCCTAAAGCAAAGAGGGGATTGGGTTAACACAAAGGCTGTAAAAAGGTTTTTAAAAAAACAAACACCAAGCAAGCAATGGTCAAACTTGAACTTGAACAGGCTCGGAGTCTTACCTTCCACCAGCTCATCCATGTTGGTGATCTTCTTGCCGCCGTCTATGGTGTAGATGGCACGCACTCCCTGTGGCAGGTGCAGATTGTCTGCCAGGGAGCGCGTGAGCTCCATCAGGAGCGCGTCGTAGGACCGAAACCGGTCGCTGGACACGGCGTACACCAGGCCCTTAAAGTAGCGGTCCCCGTTGCGGTAGAAGCGGACCTTCTTGGCGCGTTTCTCGGAGGTGAGGGCCTGCAGGGTGCGGGTCCGGTAGTAGCTGCAGTTGGCGCTGTGGGCGGGACTGGGGACCAGGCTGCTGCCCCGCGAGCTGGGGCCGGACCCCCCGCCACTGCCGGCCGAGTCATCTCTCCGGGCCCGGGCCGAGCGGCCCCGCCGGACCTTGTCGCGTTCGTCAAAGTGCTCCAGCTCCAGGGTCTTACTCAGAGACATGGTGGACGACGGTTCAGCGGTTTTCAACAGAGTCCACGCCAATTTAAGCTCATAGTCCGAAAGCCAGAGATGGTCTAATTCTCGCTCTGCCTCAGAGCCAGTTCAAGGGTGCCGGAATTCATAATGGATGAGCTACCGGCTTTGAGAGCTCCTCACAGGCATACGAGAAACGTCCTCCTCTAGTACCAGGACACAGTCGTAACCACGGTCAGAGAGAGAAAAGAACTATGGAGGAAGGAGTTTTACTCCATCGTAAAACTGAATGAATCCAAAGGTCCAGCTGTAGGGTTACTGAGCTTCTAACTGCAATACCTGTAAGGTGATGTGTAAACAAGTTAGGATCCAGCTGGAGAGTCACTCATTTCGGCTCTACCCAAGTATGACCACTGTCCAAACTCAAGGCTAACCTTGTACCACAAGCACCTTAGAACGGAGGCGTTTTAGCAGTGTCCCATAGCAGGGGTTTAGATCAGTATCACAGATGGGTTATAGGAGGACTTCAGTCACACTTTGCTTCTTCAGTGCATAGAGGAAATCATGAGTGTGTTAAAATGAAGATTTCCTCCTCCTATTACCCCGTGGTCAAAACCAGAGGAGATTAACGGAGCCAAACGTCCTTTTGCAGACTGGATGCCCTCTCAGTAACCTTCCAGATCAGGTCCGCTTTGGGGTGCCGGAGTCCTCAGCGTGCCCTCATCCCTGACAACAAAAGAGGAGACAGTCACATGGTGCACTGACAGGACAGATACTACCCCCCCCCCCATCATCATCATGATCCCGAGACACGGATGACAACTGGCATGGTCAGTATTTTCCGAGCACGGGGGGAAACTGCGGGCTTTGTGCTGAAGGCAGGTCTGCCTTTAATCAGGCTCACATGCAGAGAGCAGCGCTCTGTGGAAAAACGCTTTCAAACAGCAAAAGATCCAGACACTGAAACCAGGTAGTTTGACCTATCCTTATCAAATGAGGCAGTATGATCCAACGAAGTGTGTTAGACTGATTTTTTTCTTTTTTTCCTGCGATTCCGTGGAGGGACGTTTTCCAGACAAATGACATTTATCTGGAGCCAAAAGCGAAGCTGTGATGCCACGATTATAAAACCTGCGCGCTAGTCGCTTCTGCTCATGTGACGACCCGACTGACTTTATCCATCATTCCGCCCAAACGCTGCTAAGCCGCTCAGACACACACACACACACACACACACGTACGCAGAGGGAGGCACCTACCAATAATGCCGTGGAACCGGTTTGTTGCTAGGGAGGCTGCTATCTCCCACTTTCTCCCGGTGCCTCTTCCTTCCGGTCGGTGCTGCCGGCAGCTCCGGGCGGGCTGAGGCTCTACGACCGGACCGACTGGGTCCAGGCCGGCTGGCTAACCCGGGTCTCGGGGTGGTGGTGGTGGTGGCGGCTGCAGGCTCCACCTGCGGAGGACCGGGATGCACCGAGACTGGCGGCGGACAGCAGCATGGCCTCTGCAGCAGAGAGGAGACGCCGGCTGAACACACCCCCCCCCCCTCTCCGCGGCTGAACGTGATGACAGCGTCCCTCCCTCCTTCTCTCTCCGCGTCTTTGTCTGGCTCTCTCTACCGTCTCTGGCCTCTTGTCTGTCTCGCTCTGAAAACCAGCTCCATTGTCGTGACGGCTTCACACAACCTTAATTTGGAAACTGCTAATTATAGAAAACCCGTGAAGAGCACTTTGGGGACATTTTGGGTCCAACTGGACCCGATTCCGAGTCTAAATCACATTGATTTCAGATTAGTACATTTTCCATCTTGGGTCTCTTTTTTTAAATCAAATTCCAACGTGTTGTGTGTTTCGTGAATATGGAATTTAGAGCAGGAGACAAAAAGGAAAACAGGGAAGAAGAACGCCACCGCGCATCACCGCCCCCTGCTGGTAATTTTCTGTAACTGTCCAATCCATTACGCGCGGCTAATAAAAGGAATTAGAATGGAATCCATCCTAATTCTGCTTAAAATGCTTATTAACAATCCCTCCGATGGATTATGTTGTCAGGCACAGAAAACAAATCAAATAGCAATTTCTGTCACGGATTTAAGGATTATTGATAGAATGTTCAATCAATTTTATTCTCTTCATGTAAAAGTAGTTAATTGTTTGGACAAAATGTACTCAGAAACTTCAATTATTAACTTTTTACTAACGTAAAAAACATAAGTACAATCAATATTCCTTGTAGACTCAGTTATATTGATATTCTATCAATTGTAAGCAAGAAATAAGGCTATAGTGTGTGTAACACAATGAAAAAATCCATCCCTTAAATCAGCAGTAACACCTGAACCGTCACAATCTGATATGCATCATCCTTAAAAACAAAAAAATTAGACCATTTCATTTTGGAAACATCAGGTTATGTCATCAACAGCTCTGTGAATTTAGTGGCTGCCGCAGCAGGATGGCTACTTAGAAACAGAGAAAGAGCTGAACAGACAGGTTGAAGTCTTGTGTTGTTTTGCAGGCGGAAAGTTCGATGTGCAAACAAATTGTCACCCAGGTCAAAGAATGCATCAAGAAAATATTTTAATCTGAGCATGAATATGACATTCCACAGAAAACCTGTCATGGGAAAAAAAAGAAGAGCTGCTAAGAAGACAAAGACAAAAAGATACAACGCCTGATATCCATCACTGCAAAGTAAGGGCCCGTTTTCATGAAAACTCTAATTAATTAAAGTGCTGATTAGACTGTTCTACGCAAGTGGAATGTTTCTTTAATTTTATTCTGTTCTTTACTATACACACCACAGTTTTCGAACATTCTTTCCATATGATTGTAGAATTATAAAGTAACAAGCCTAGAAATAGGTTTGCCAGCAAACAGGCCTCCTCCAGCTTTTATGTTCTATCTGAGACGTGTATTCTTTATTTAGCTTTATTATTCTGTTACAAAAGTCTGTGAAACATGACCTTAGTGCAGTAATAAATAAGTGATAATCATCGCCTAAAATGGTAAATTCATAAATAATTCTGTTCACTTGTGAGGTCAATATTTGATGAGGTTGTGGTGGACGTGGCCAATCTCTTATTTTTCGTCAATGTTTGAAGGTTGTTTTTTTTTCCTCCCAAAATTTGTGTTCATTTCCTATGAATATTTCAAACCCAGCAATATTTTTTTATTTGCCGTTTCTTTATGGGGGTGTAATGTAAGGCTGCGTTGGCGATGCTGTGTGATGTGGTTGGGGTTTTATTCCAATTATCTACTCTTGTCTTTTCGCTGAAAAAGTGTAATGAAGCAGAAAGCACCTGCCACAGCTCAGGTACTCTGAATGGGATCGCGTTTTCACCTGAGCACACCTGCAGCATCCTCTCCATGTCATTTCATCAGAACTTCTTTGTGATCTTTTGTTTTGCTGAATCAGGCCCCACCCCCATCAGTAGGTCGGGGGGGAGCGCGACAGCTGGGGCATGAAGCAGCCAAACTGCCCCACCCTTTAATCTGAAGCCAGCCACTCAACCATTCGTCTGTATGAAAAGGTGGATGAACAATTATGTTTTAGCTCACGTGGGCCAGAACAATGCATACGGCTGTATTTCTTCAAGTGATTATTTCACAGAGGCATTCAAATGTGTGGTTAACTTTTATTTAATGGATAATATCAAATGCATAATATAGAAAAGAATATGGACAATGTTACATACCTAAAAGGCACATTACAAATTTTATAGGAAATGTACAGCAAATTGTTTATAGGCTCAACAATTTGGCCTTTTTCTCAAGATTTGGTCCTAAAATCATTCATCAGAAATATGGTAATGAGATGTCTAAGCAAAACTTTTAGTCTGTTACAGATATTCACTTATTTCCATCAGTTGGTTGAAAATAAAATTATCATAATGTGTAAACTTGACAGAATGACAACAAGACAAATAGTAACAGTTGAAAAATTCCCACTGCAAATGGTAGATTGTTTTAAGCCACATCATTGAACAAATAAAATTGACATTAGACTCAGTGTTACACATCCTATGTATATACAGACATGAAATTATTCCCTTATGAGAAGTCAGATCATTGCAAAAGTAATTTTACATCAAATGAAGACACATTTATAAATGCCGAAAATCATTTTAGCAAACAAAATTGTAGCATCCCCGGCTAATAGATGGTTGGACTCTTTTACTGATGGTTCATATCCCTTTTATTCAAACGGTCAATGAAGGCCATACATGAACTCACCGTTCGAATAAAAGGGATATGAACCATCAGTAAAAGAGTCCGACCATCTATTTTTATTACAGTAAAAACTTGTGCCCTTTTAGCCAGGAGCTATTACCTTTAAATAACCTTTTAACACTTTAATATGTCAACGTTTTTTTTTTATCAACGTTCCCCGACAGCTCCGAAAACCCGGAAGTCCCAAGGTCTCACGAGAGCCCCTCAAAATAAAACGCTTTGTTCAAACATAAAGAAATATTAATCCATCCATCCATCCATCCATCATCAATACCGCTTGTTCCCTATTGGGGTCGCGGGGGGAACTGGAGCCTATCCCAGTGGTCAACGGGCGAGAGGCAGGGTACACCCTGGACAGTCCGCCAGTCCCTCGCAGGGCACACAGGGACAAACAATCACTCACACTCACATTCACTCCTAAGGGCAATTTCCCCAATCTCCAATCAACCTAACATGCAGGTTTTTGGACTGTGGGAGGAAGCCGGAGAACCCGGAGAGAACCCACGCAGACACAGGGAGAACATGCAAACTCCACCCAGAAGGGTCCTGCTTCCCCCGGGATTCGAACCCAGAACCCTCTTGCTGGGAGGCGACAGTGCTAACCGAAATATTAATCTAACTTCGTAATTTTACAACACAAATTACACAAGAAATAAGAACAATACATTAGATTACATTAAAGGTAATCTACAAAAATACTTAAAATAATACACAATGTCCCTTTAACCATCACTTTCAGTATGAGTGACTACCACCTCCTGTATCTTTTTTTATAGTGCCAATCTGTTTGTTCAACGGACTTGTTATGAATTCCTTTATCTCAGCCAACTTGAACAGCATTCGTCCTTGCACAGTCAGTTCTGGAGGCTCCAAAGCAGTCTCCAGTACAAAATTATAATTTTATTTACAAGCCACAAGAACAATTTTTATCTCATTCAAAACATGCCTGGGGTGTCTGGATCATGTGTCTTAAAATCCAGCATAACAGTCATCCTTTACCATCACCAAAGAATTCAATGTGACATTTCGCTCCCCATTGAGCACAATTGTGGGTGAGCCCATCCACATGTCCCCCTTAAGAAAACGACATCTCATCGATTTACATCTGAACAAATTATCATATGATATATATACATATGACTACACAGCTCATCACTGCATTTTTCTCTCCACAAAGCTTGAGTGAGACATGATCTCACCAACTTCATGAAATCTACGTCCTCTACCTGCTTTTGAAATCCCAGTTAATCATAGCGATAAAAGAGAGCAGAGGAATGAGGATGAAGGACAACAGCAGGGTACAGAGGCTCACTGAAGTTTGCATTGAAAGTGTAAAGCCTGGTAAGACTGCTGGAGACAACTCTGTAGAAGGACAAAGTGCCAGCCTCCCAATCCAGGTACACTCCCATATGACTAGAACGTGAGCACAGGGATGATATACATTTGCTCTCACGGCCATGCTGAGCATAGCAACCGTTCTCAGAACAGGTCACGCACCATGACTTGTCACTGTTTTCTAGCTTGGAGTCATCTCCTTTCCGGCCAATGCTTTTGTATGCAACGCCAATGCTGAAAGGCTCCACCATCTGAACCTCAAAGTAGCAGCGCCCTGTCAGGCCCTGCTCGCACAGCGCCTGCAGACAGTGGTCAAACCTGTCTGCATGACGAGGATATGGCTGTTCACGGTCCACCCAGGCAACCTTTCTGTTCCCCTCCGAGAGAAGCAGATTCTTGTATGCTGTGTTGGGGTCCAAAGTGAGGGAACAGGCATCTGGAGGTAAGAAAACACTATTTCAGCAGCTGCAGCCGAAATACTTGAACAGTACCAAGCCCAATGAGCCAATCAGTCACCGACAAGGAAATCTTCCACTGGACCTTTTTGGTGGTGCTTTTTTCATTCGTAGATTCAGTCATCCAGGTCACTGTAACCGCAAGCTTTTGTAAACTTAAAAGTATATGTCTGTGGGGCCAAATCTCCTACCCAAACCTTAAATTTCACATGCGTTACTGCACACCTCCTACCACCCGGATGTTCATTTTCCCATCTTATCTCAAATGATGTTAAACATTTCTGAAGCAGGCTCCCATGTAGGAACTAGCAGAGGTTTCTAATTACTTCATAGAATTATTTGCTACATTCAGCGACTTGCCGATTTCCACTGATACTTACATTTTTTAAATCCCATTGTCAATCGTTGGCTTCCACACCCATCGAAACTGCAGGGAAATATGAGTATTGGAGGTGTTATGGTTGCAGATGTTTAATATATAAATTATAACAGAATTTGTGCTAAATAAAAGAATCACAATTCATCCTTAAAGGAACGTTAACGTCTGACTCCTCACCAGAACTGACAAGGCTTTCTAGTAAAAGGGGAAAAGTGTGCCCATATGTTGAATGCAACGGGGCTGGATCATAATTACTTGAGTTTGCTGAGCTTGTACTTTGGATCATCCTTCAGTGCAGAAAGCAGCTTTATTCCAGTGTCCCCTGGATGGTTGTAGCTCAGGTCCAGCTCAATCAGATGGGAGGGATTGGACTGTAGAGCTGGTACAAAATAACCACAGCCTTTCTCTGTGATCATACAACCAGACAACCTAAAAAAGAGAGAGATTTTTTTATGCAGCTCTTTGTTGGAATTCCTCCCCCATGATGTGTTAAAAAACCCAAAAACTAATGAACAATGAAGAAATAAAAAAATATACAGTATATATGGTGCTGCTGTGGAATTCTTCTGTGAAATTTCTGTCGGTGTTCTAAAGCAACAACATCATGAAAATACTTGTATAACCATCCTTTAGGTACCTGAGTGTCTCAATTCTGCAGGTCTGGCTTGACAGTCCATTACAGAGGATCTCCACTCCAGAATCTTCAAGATCATTGTTGCTCAGGTTCAGATGCCGCAGAGGGGAAAATGGGAATTTGAGACCAAATACCAGGTGTTCAATCCACTCCCCAGTCACTTTGCAGTTTTCCAGACTAAAAGTGAATTTCAAGGTCGTAATTTAATGTAGTTCACAGGTACAATCATACAGTCTGGAGTGATTACAAATGGTAGTTTTAACTTTATTTAAAGATAACTTCTACTTTTTAGGTTTAATTAAATCAACGGGCCTCCACTATATCGGATATCTGAGGACTGTACTCGAGAGAGAAATTAGCTGAGCAACAAATTCACAATTGTTTAGCAACGCTTTAAAAGGGATCAGTATTCTAGAAAAACCAAGAATATCTATCACTGGATAGGTTTGCAGAATTTAGCCTGGTACCATATGTTAAACCAATAAAAAGAAGACTGTTTTCTTTGCCGCAATGGGCTCGTCCACAGCAACGTTGTTTGCGACTAGAAAATTCAATTAGGATTTCATGCACATTCTGGAGTAAAAGAAATGCCACGACCAATTTATCTGAGAAGTTAAGAGTGAAAACAGACTCACATCACTGTTCTGCTGCTCCTCACAGCTGGTATTAGCCTCCTTCGACCCTCATCTGTTGTGTTGTAGCTCTTCAAGTCCAGCACATCCAGTTCGTTCTTCGACACCTGCAGCATATATACCAAAGCAGAGCAGTGCAGAGGAGATAACTCTGTTTTTGAGCGATCCGAGAGTTTGAGGTATTCTTGAATCTCGTCTTTGACTTTGTGGTCTCTCATCTCCACCATGGCCTGGAAAAGGCTGATGCAACAGTCAGGGGACAGGGTCTTCCTTCGAATGGATCTGAGGTAAGTTATGATCTTTTTGTCTGCGTCTTGGTTTGGGGGCCATGGGGTCAGCAGACCCTCAAGGATGGTCACTTGGACCAAAAGTCCAAGTGACCATTCTTCTTCTCCAACACTTTGTCAACTGTCATCTTTAAAAGGTCAAGCAAAGAGTGTTCATCGTTCTTTAGCTCAAGGAATGTTCCAAGGTCTTCTGTGTTCTGGTTTATGAGACATTCATAGACATACAAGGCAGCAAAGAACTCCTGTACAGTCAGATGCACAAAGTAGAAGACCTTTTTGTTGGAGAAAACTCCCTCTTCCCGAAGAACTGCATTGCAAAATCCAGAGTAGACCGATGCTTCGTCGATGTCAATTCCGCAGTCTTCCAGGTCCTCCTTATAGAAGATGAGTTGGTTTTTTTGAAGCTGGACAAAGGCTAGCTTACCAAGTTTCAGAAGAAACTCTTTGTGCGTCTTCAGAAGTTTGGCTTTGTTTGTCTCTACTTTCGCGTCATACTTTCTGAATCTGCGTTTTGTTTGGGCAAACAGGAAGTGGGCCATCATCTCAGTCAAGGTTTGAGGAATTTCGTTTTTTTCGTCTGCTCCGAAAACCTCTTGAAATAAGATGCCGGAAATCCAGCAGAAGATTGGGATCTGGCACATGATGTCAAGACACCGTGATGACTGTATGTGTGATATGATTCTCTTAGCAATCGTCAACTCGTGTCTTTTCTTGAAGTACTCCCCTTTCTGGGAATCATTAAACCCTCTTATCTCCGTCACCATGTCAACATGCTTGGCAGGGATCTGACTAGCTGCAGCTGGACGGGACGTTATCCAGAGGTTTGCATCAGGAAGAAGGTGTCCCCGGATGAGGTTTACCAGGAGATTACTCACAGATGTCACATTGCTGTGTGAGGTTACTTTCTTAAAGTTTGTAAAATCAAGCTTAAATCTGCTTTCATCCAGGCCATCCAGGATGACTATTATTCTTGCTTGGACATAATCTCCAGTATCCTCGAGATGGTGCAGCACGGGATGGAATTCAGTGAGGAGTTGATGCAGGTTTTTCTCGCCTGAAATCAAACGTAACTCTCGGAAAGACAAGCTGAAAACGAAATCAACGTCTTGGTTGGCTTCCCCCTCGGCCCAGTCCAGAATAAACTTAAGCACGGAGAATGATTTCCCAATGCCTGCGATGCCCTTCGTAAGCACTGTTCTGGGGGCTTTCTTTTGGCCGGGTGACGGTTTGAAGATGTCATTCAGGCTGACTGAGCAGTCTAATGATGATTGTTTTTTCAAATGATGTTCAAGGTGTCTTTGCTCGTGTACCAATGCCAGGTCTTCTCTTTCTCCAAAGGTCACATAAAGTGTTGTGTAGATTCTTTTCAGGGAGCTCAGTTGGTCATCCAAACCTTCATTTATCAAAGTATATTTCTTTTGCATTGCTTTTTTAAGGCTTTTCTGTGCTTTCAAAAGATGGTCATGACCTTTGGGGGGAGAAAAGTGCTTGACTATAACATGGTGTTTCCATTTTTTTATTATAAATTTGTCGCTCAAGTGTACTGCCTTGTCTTCTTACAGATTAAACTGTCTTCTTACAGATTAATATGTCCCTAAATACCCTAATCCAAATACTGTTGAGGTAATTTGCTAGTATTCATTGCTATGGCGGCTACAATAATGCTAGATATTGTTTAAGAACTTACCAAAAGATCCCTTGGCTTTCTTGCCACACTCTGAACATGTGTAGGGCAATGCTGTATCAGAATTGTGTGACAAGTGGCCACACAACAACTGGACTGGATCCTTTATGATGTCCTTAAATGTTGCACAAATGCTGGGTTGGTTGAGGGATTGTGGGCAAAAAGACAGAAGTTAAAGAGGGATTTCTTGACCTGGACAAAAACACTGATCCACCTTTGCACATTTTTAATGTTTTAAGATGAATAACTTCCTGAATAAGTACCTTTGACTCTTTTGAAATTCAAAACCAACTGGTTCAAACATGGACGAATCACTCTTGACGGACACATTAGTGATAGACGAAGGGTTAGTTGTTTTCAGCTCTACACTAAAAAGAAAGAAAAGTTATTACAAGACATATAATTTTCCTCTACTAATCTGAGTTTTAAGTTTAGTCCACAAAATTTAGGATTACGGCAGTGACATCTCGCTGAAGTTGAGTGGCCGGTACATGGATCCTTCACTCTTTATTGACACATTGCTAGGACCTGGAGAATCAGCTACACTTTTCTGTGAGCTGTTTGGAAAATAGACCTGTTACTACAGTCATGGAAGAAAAAGAAAAACATCTACAAAAAAGATTTTGTATTGCTGGACAGCATTTGGTCATTAGCAGGTCTAAAAATTGTCAAAACAGTTTGACCTGCACCACAAAAGTAGATTAAACTGAATATAAATTCCAAGCAGGAATGATAGGTTGTAGAGGCTTAGTTATATCTGCAAGCCGTGAGTCATTTCTAAGACAGGTACTCCAAAATCTGGTACTTTTGGAGACCAAAAGTGGTCAAGGTCCCTCATGAGGGGTTTTCCACCGTGGAGGTCTGCAATATCTCAACCTTTGGCATTAAAATGGGGTGTACATGCATTTTTCTGTGACTGTAAAACAGTCTGGATGCACTTCTTGCTAATGCAGAGCTGTGTGGTTAGAAAAGGTAATCATGGACTTTCTATTTTCCTCAGTCCAAACAATACCAGTCTGCAGAAGAGCTGGAGGGGGCAGCTATTGTTTCTCTTTTCCTTTTCTTGGCATCCATTTCTGAAGCAGGAGCTGGAATGCAATTCTGAAAAATAAAAAAATAGTAATAATCTAAAGACCAAGACTTTAAACTGAACATTTTTCTCGTGGTCAACTCTTTCTGTTGAAAGATTAACATCAGCCTTAATGCAACGGTCTTCACCAACAAAGGAAATGCATTTATTTGACGCAAAAACTTCTTTAATGGAGCTACAAAGAACACTTTAGAATTTATTTACATGACTCAAAAAGAAAGTGCACGTGCATAAAAACAAAAAAGGTTACAACCATATGGTACAAAACAACTGACTGTAATGTAACAAATAACAAAAGAAAACTTTTAAATCCCCCTGTAGTTTCCTTTCTGGGTTTTTTTTTTTTGTTTGTTTGTTTCTTTTTACTTCTTCTTGGTCCATCATAGGATTTTAGACTACACACGATGATTAGTGCGATCAAACTGCGTAGGCTATATAACAAAATGTCTGCTGTACATTACTGTCAATGCAAACCGAAACTAACAGCTAACAGCTCGCACAGAGCCTGAGACAAGTCCCTCCAACAAAATCAAAGTTTTCGTTCTGTCTCCTCTCAGCTTTGCTTTGACCCACCTGGATTTGAAGACGCGCTCCGAGAAGCGCAGAACTTTCCCCAAAGTCCGTCTGTGGTCGTTGCTGTGGCCCCACCTCTCTCCCCAAGAGGAGCCCGCCTCGCTTCCTTCCTATCTGCGGGTGAGATCTATTTCACTTTGAATATGGACTTGATGACGAACAAAGGAAGATTTTGTTCAGGCTTAGCATCTCATGAATCTTATTTACAGTCTCCTAAAAGAGGAAAAAACATCTGTGTCCTGTCCTGCCTGCTGTGTCGCATCTTACTACAGGTTCCTCTTTCGGTTGGGTTTGTTCTTCCCTCTCCCAACTTATCAACGACAAATAAGGTCAAAGCAACAGCCAATCCTTCAACGATAAACTCGTTGTATTACATTATATTCTGTAGCAAACAACACCAGGCTCACAGTGCAACCAATATTTATTAAATTCTTACAATATAGATTTAAAATTTAGATTAGATAAATAACACCCCTTAAGGAAGGGGGGAGGATTATTTACTCAAGGGGAAGAAAATGGTATTATACAGAAGATATTATCAGTTATTGCTGATTTGGTGGATGAATTGCAGATTTTGAAACACATTTGGTCGCAGTGTCACATCTTTCAAATAGCAAAATCATCGACCTTCTCATCTTTAATCCAACTTTCCTCATAAGACTCAATTTATATCTGCATCGACAAGTACTCTGCTCAATTCTGCATCTGTGGTCATTTATCTGTGTCACAGTTAAAAACTGACACCCCCACCTCGCAGTGGAAAGTTCTAAACCGTTAAAACCAGTAACGGCAGCTGTGTGGCCTCAGGACACTTTCAGTTTCTTGTGTTTGACTATGCTGTATGCAAGAGATTTTTTTAAATAGTTTAAAAAAAGGCTGTCATAAGGTCATCAAATCGTGACTGATAATATGTCTAAATGGAAATAGGCATTTTAAAAATGAGTATAAGTAACACTGGTTCGATCCTGTAAGCTGTAAGCTATTCTGCCTCACATTGTTTCAACATAACACATTTGAGATTTGCTGATTGGAACATTTTTGTAACGTATATGATATTGTAAATTTAAAAAGATCATAAATTTAAAGTAAACACTAATAGCTGAAAGTCTTTCCTGTCATACTGCAATCTGTTGCCCAATTTTCTTTTAAGTGAAAAAAAAAAAGGATTTCACCAATATTAAACTGCAGTTCCTCTACTGAACACAAGATGTTGCACCAGTAGTTTGCTTTCTCACAACGCCAGTTATGACTTAAAGAAGCACCTCTCACTAAGAGAAACGACAAGCATAATGCTGCACACATACATTTATTGAATCAATCTCAGGAAAACACAGCTATAACTGAGTCTTTGATTTTATCTGACTGTTTCTGAAAGTGACAGGCCTCAGAGATTTGGTCTCTTTAAATGACGTGTAACAATACTGCTCTGTGTTGTCGTTTTTCACGAGCAAGAGGAAATTAAACCTTTATTCTGACCCATTTGCAGCTACGGATCAACAATAAGTTGTTTTTTGTTTTTCTTTAAAGGTTGATGAGATGTACCCAGTACAGTGTCTGAGTCTTGTAGAACTGTTACCACACTTGTTGTTTCTGATCATTAAACATCACAAACTGACTTTATGTTGCATGGGAAAGACTGGAACAGCTGTCTAAGGGTCACCTTGGCACTGTGGGAGCACAAAACCAAGAGGACAACCTGCTTTTCCCTTTGATGAGAGCTCTTCAAAACCAGCAGGTACATTTATCAAAACTACACAATCTGACAGCAAAATACAGATTTCAAACATTAATATCTGGGCATTTATCTTAACACCATAGTTTCTCAACAGACATGGCTATTACCCTGCTTCATCCTGGCCTTTTTTTTTTTTTCATGACCGTGTTGGGAAGATGTGTGAGAGTTCACATTTTGTGCTTTCACTGTGACTTTGTTACAGGATCTGAGAGTTTTTTTCTCTCTCTGCTATGTTTTCTCTCCTCAGTTACTGGCCACCTCCGGGCTGCGGTGGCGAGCCATCACTGTCATCCTCCCAGGATGAAGATGTGAAGCCTGCTGGGGCAGAGATGGAATGAGGGGCGGGGGTGTGGCCGAGGCCTTGGTACCGCCCAATGGACGAAGGGGAGGAAGGCATTGACGTGGCTGCCACGGCGACCGGATCCTGCGAGGTGGCATTGAGAAGGCCGGTGTGCTCGGTGTGTTCGGTGTGTTCGGGACGAGCTGCTGCACCGAAGTACATCTTGTTGGGTCGACCCAAGAAAGTACGGCCTAAAGGGAAGGAAAGGGTCCTTTGTTTAAATAATTTTCAAAAATAATTCCTTGTGTAATAACTTCCTCATTGCATGCAGGGTAAATTAAATGCCATAAAATGATTTCCCAAAGTAACTAAGAGGTTATCACCACTCTAGGGAATACTAAATACTAAGAGGGATGCTAACAGAAGGGAAGATACTAACAGAAGGGAAGATTTCATCATCCACAGTCCACTGCGTAACTAAAGAATTTGGATAATGTGATAAAAACACCAAGGAGCAAAAACTAGTGCTGAACGGCCATGTTTTATTGTGCCATCAAACGGCACAGAAAATGGACACAATACTGAAATGGAAACTTTATCAAAGACATGTTTTGTCACGGAATCCATAAGCGCAAGTTGGAATTCTCCCATAAAAAGAAAGACACTTCTATGAACAAAATCAAAACAAAGACAGAAAGACGGAACCAAAGACAGAACCAGCGTGCTCAAAAACGGTTGAATAATCAGATTGTGATGCTCACCGGCATGACGGACTTGCTCAGTGACATCAGCTCTGATGTCAGAGAAATCCCACATGGCCAAAAAGCTGTCAAAGCAGGAGCCCTCCTCGGCTTCCTGGGTGAACAGGAAAAAAGGCACATGAATGAGAGAAGACGCACCAAATAACCGCATGGTAAATCTCTCTGTTCGTATTTCGTCTGTGGGAGCTTAGGACTGAAGACATTTTCCTTAAGGAAATGTTGTTCTTCCTTTGCAATTCACACACATGCCAAACTGAACGGCCCAGGGCCCCAACATGTGTGTTTACATTCATCGAGCTGGTGTTGCCAAATCATTGGCACTGCGACAGTAGAGCTGGTGAGAGAAATGTGCTCTGAGACGTTGACCTGTGCTTACATCAATCCTATTCGAGTTTGATTCGAGTACTGACAAGTAGATGTTTTACCTGTACGTATGGCTTGTAGGTGAAGGTGTAGTGGTGAGCAATCGCAGCCAGGAACATCTCTATGCAGATGATAAAGTCCTGTCTCGGTTTAACAAGGCAATAGGTCAGAGAAGTGCGGTGCAAAGAAACTAGGATAAATAACCTCTGATTGCAATTGCTTTGATAAAGTCATTGAGATCAATTGAAATTTACCAAAACAGTCGGTAAATTATTCTCAAGCGTGTGTTTACCTGCAGTCCAGTAGCCACTGCCTCAACACTGTCCCAATCCCAGGTGTGTTTGTCAGAAATCACACCCACTTTCACCAGAAATGCTATCAAAACAGCCTGCCTGCAGAACAAATCCCTCGATCAGAAAGGTTCAGGTTCCCACACACCATCAGTGTGGCAGCAAAGCCATCCAGCTGTCCTACTAATCTTACCAGAAGGAGACAAACACGACCAGCTTGACACATAGGAACTTGCCCACTGGCCTGATGGGAGTCAGCTCATCCCTGAGAGCTCGGTAGAGCAACACCAGACAGTACATGGCAAACTGGAGACGGAGACAGACGTATCCACTGAACTCCATCAATAAGACCATTTGCAACATTTTAGCTGTTAATGAACCTGAATATCAACAGGCCAATCGGGGCAATGCTGTATTTTAAATAGCACAAACACTAAAAATTTTTGAAAGGAGTGACGTCTTTACTTCTTTAAATAAGTATTTACTTGTACTTTATTCTAACATCATGCAGTGTCTGGGATGTGTTATTACCAGCTGGGAAATGTTGTTGACGATCACCAGGTAGGACCAGGCGTTTCTGAAGCTGAAGTTGGCCTCGTCGTAAACCCCGCAGAGCTGGCAGATGCTGTGGACCAACAGGGACACAGGGACACGCCTTTTGACTTCTCAGCTTCAGAAGAATGTTGCAAAGTGCTCTGACAAATGCTGACACGGTGGGTAATTCACGCCCCATATTTTTACTCAAACGAAGCACAGACCGAGCAAAAAGTAACCCTGCCGGCAAAACGCCTCTCTACACACACCTCGTTTGGATGGTTTTAGGCATCCAGTTGTCTGTTTTCACTCCCTATTTTGTCTGACCTCCTCCACTTCACTCTTTTCCCACTTTGTTATAGCACAAAAATACTTTGTCAAGGTTATGAAAGCTTCGCAGTTAGGCTTTGAAATACACAAAGTTGTGTAAAGCGTTGCCAACATTTCCCATGTAGCCCCACAACAATTGCAATAAGAAGAGCGTGGACGAAAAAGACACGGAGGTACACTTACAGGGCAATCACCGTGGTAACAGGTCTCACCACGGTGTACTGAAGGACTCCCAGCTTGCACCTGAACAGCAGCACCCTGACACAAAGAAGAGGAGAAAATGAGCAGCTTCCCGCCCACCCGTTGGTCACCCGCCGCCCCCCACCCCCTCTCTTACTCTCCCATGGGCCAGGGCGGGCAGCAGCAGAGCGGCGGCAGGTGAGGTTGCTGCTGCTGCACCTCCAGCATGAGCACCAGGCTGGGGTACTGGTTACTGAGGAAGTTCAGCAGGAACACCAGGAAGTTGTAGATGACGTAGGCCTCGTAGCACTCCCGGCACGTGTCCACGTAGATGGCCAGGCTGGGGTATCGCAGCGCCAGCCACTGGAAGGGAACATTTAACCATCAGCAGAGATGGAGCAGCCATTAGGTTTGGTGTGTGCACGCAGTCAAATGAGAGGAGAGAGGACTTTCATTTTTCTGTAATAGAGTTAGCCAATATGAGATGAGGGCTGTGTGTAACTTGACATATGGTCTTGTGACTCTGCCACGACGTTTCCAATTAAGCCCCATTGCCATGGCAGCACCGAGGGGAAAAAAAAAAGAGGAGGAGACAGTATGAAGTAGCTTGCTCTGTGTGCTTGTGTGTCTTAATGACTCACGCTGTCCAAACTGTAGATGGGCACCATCCATAGTATCCTAGAGGAGGTAAATAAGAGACAGCATCATGAAACCGGAGCAGAGGTTTGTGTCGGCACATGTGAGGTTCTGTTTGCCTCAGATATGCGGACACTTTTAGACAGCAGCTTAAAATATCCCAGATTTTCTTTATTTTTAAAATTAGTCCCATCTAAGTCTTTTTCTGCTGTCTGTCATCTTAGGTTGTTCTATATAAAGGACATCTTTAAGGATTTCTGTGGTTTTCTCAACAGCCTGCTCCTACTGAGCGTGTTCAAGGCTCATCTCATTTTTGTTGCACCTTCCTTAATTGTATCTGATGCTTTTTCCTCCGCCCTCCTGCCTGTTACCAAGAAATCGTTCCCAGAGCATTATGGAACATGATCCAGCCGGAGGTGTAGGGACAGAGAAGCCTTCAGTAGGAGCTGCGTGTATGATTTGAAATGAGAACTCCTCAGATGAGGCACTCCTTTTGTTAAATGTGTGTAACTTTAAAGAATGTCTCTTAACTAAGCTTCTCCCTGTCGATCCGTGGCAGCTTGTGCCAGTCACAGAACTGGAGTCACACCTGAGTACAGCCACCTCCCAGAAAACAAGCCTGTCACATAAGTCCATATTCAGCCAGACACCACAGCAGTTGTTAAATGTAATTCATCTTGCTCACAATCTTACATCAGATTGCATATATCTGCTTCAAGCATGCCATACTGTCAACGAGCTGAGAGCTGTCTCCAGATGGATAAAGGTCCATCATTTTTCCTTTGGTCTTTGAGCTGCTTTGGTCTGTTTCAGAGCCTTTGTGGGAAACACTGCAGTGAGTAATCATGTAAAATTAAAAGACTTAAGAGAGCTGTGCACACTCTTCCTTCTCCAGAACAGCCATGTTGAAAATTTGTTTTAAGTTCCCATCATCTCCAATCAGTAAGAGCCAATAAACACTTTTTCTGTCATTTGACACAGCCACAATGCAAATGCTTTTTACCAAAAACAGTTTCAAATGTCCCATTGCATCAAAACATAATGTGAGATGGGCAGTAAAGGAAAGATCTGGGGAATGTTGACAACTTTTTCTTCTTTTTTTTCTTTCTATCCCAAAACCAAATAATTACAAACTAAAACTGTTTTGCTGAGCATATTCTAGTGTAACTATTGAAAGAAAGTTGTGCCTGTTTACCTGATGATGGGTTTCTGCAGCTCAGGCTGGGTGTAGTGCACCATGTGCTGCAGAATTCCCCACAGAGAGATTGGGATGGTGAGGAACACGAACACGCCCGCTATGAACCAGGCTTTGCTGTGAGTCCCGACCTGTGACGACCGAGCAAAAGATCCGAGTTTTCAGCATTTTCCTGCAGACCGTTACGCTCATTCTTTCAGAACTCCGTTTCGTCAAGGAGACATGGCTCAGGGGAAGGTGATGAGTGAGGGGAAGTGTGCACCTTGTCTTTCTGCAGCTCCCAGATGCAGAGCGGCAGCACGGCCACCAGGAGAAGGGCATAGAGCACCAGAACCAGCGGGCGAATCCACCTCCTCCATTCAGCACAAGTACACGGCATGATGGCTGCTTCACCCTAAGCAGGGACTACGGCCGCATCCTGCACCAGGGAACAGGCAGAGGAATGACGTCACACAGGTAAACTTCCACAGAGTCAAAAACCTAACAAAACTTTGTGGAACATTACACAACAAGCCCACAAGAATTCTGGTACATGTTCAGAGGAATTGATAAATTAACGTTTTGCTGGTATTATTATCTTTATGTTCTTGAGCTTTAAAGCAACTTATAGAACAACAAAATCGGGGTAGCGTTAGATATGGGACCTTTCTTTCAAATTTCAGTGTCCACACCCTCCAGACTGCAAAGAGATAGTGAGGATTTCAGTGGATGTCGACAGACAAGAGATCTCTTCCAAATCCAAACGGTATTTAAAGTATATCCATGCAGAGACTGCTTTTTACAGGGCTGTTGATTTGATCCATAAATGTTTAGAATGCCTTTGATATTTAGTACTACAGCCAATAAACAACATCAAGTACAGTCAAGTCAGCCCACATAGCTCTGCTAAAAACAACAAATATGAACATTTATCTGCTCATAAACTGCAATAATACCCTTACACTAACAGATTTGTTGACCGCTGAACCCGTAGACGCTCACTCAGAGTGACGGCTGGCCTGTTTTCAGCCTCAGTCCTGTTTCTGTTACCAGGCAACGCATCTCTCCTCCGCGCGACACCGCACGCCGCAAACTGACGCTCAGCTCTCCCCCGTCGACACCCGTCAATCGTTCCCGATCAGCGGCCGATCGATAAATCGCTCCAAATCTGCGCGATTCGGCCCCGCAGAGAGCCTGCTGTCCGCGGGTCTCCCCCTCCTTCCCCCTCCGTGTTTACGCCCCGACGTCACCGACAGGAATCTCAGCCATCTCCGTCTCTGCCCGGCAGTCACGTGGTTTTGAGGACCGACACAAACAGGGCTTTCACACAAACTAGATTATGTCAATAAGAGGAATTTAAAAAATATACAAGTCTGACAAGTGACAGCTTGTATTGACAGATGTTGTATTTATTTGTCTAATTGTGTTATTTCCAAAGAGCTAAAGACCACAAATAAAAATTAGAAGACAAATCAAATTAATATTATCGATTATTGATACTTGAAGTCATGTGATTATGTGATTTTAAGGAAAGGTATCAAATCAAATTATGGGAAAATAAACAGCGATCATTAATAACATCAATTTTGGAGTAAATTCAGGGACTAACTCTGAAATGTCTATGCAGTGTCAACAAATGGTATAAATAATCACACAAACATTAAAAAACAGGTGAGTTCTTAGAGAGTTTTATTAATATTATAATAGATCTGCAAAAAAGACATTTCTGACATTGATTCTGGTGTTGTAGGGGCTCTCTGCTCAGTTCTGCAGCAATATCAAATATAACATTTTATATTTTGGGGTAAGGTCATACAGCCACAGACTCCAAAACAGAAAAAAAGCTTATCCTGATGGTAGCTTATTCTTTTTTCCTTCTTCTTTAAAGCAATGTTTGGCCCTGGGCAATCTTAAATTCTAACACGTGTTCGTATATTTCACATATGCAACACGGTATTAGATACACATCAGCAAAAGTAAATTGACTCAAGCACTTTTATGTGAGACTGCTGTTATCATTAAACATGTCAATGCTCCTGTTTTGCCAGCAGAGGTCCATAATGGGTGCTAGGTTCAGTTCTAACTTGGTCAGCATTCTGCCCCTTAAGATTTCCCCACAATGGAACCACACAATCCGGTCTAAATACTGCACCATACATACGATATGTACATTAACATGTAAAAATCAACCCTTTGTGTGTCACGCAGGGTGTCCGTCAGCGAGCGCGGGGGGTTCTGCAGCCGTCAGTGGTCGGTGTGCTTGTACTGCAGGCTCGTGCCGTGGTGCAGAGGCAGCATGCTGTTGGAGAGCGAGCCGGAGTACCACCAGCAGCACAGGCAAGACTGCAGAGACACGGACAGACACACAGGGATGGTCAGGTTAAAGGAGCACTCCCAAGCCAATTTTTGTTTGTCCATTTGAAGCCTATACTTGTATTTAAAAAACCCACAAAAACACACCTATTACAACACCACAAAGCTAATAAATAGAGAATGCAGAGTGCACTGAAGAACTACATTGAATCTTCAATATCTAACACCTTAAATCTCTTTGGAAATCATAGATGACGCATCCTCCAGGTTGAAAACAGAGCCCCCATCCATCTATGATGTAAAAACACACATCAAGAGAAGGCAAAGACGATGGTAGTCCTGAGAAACACAAGAACACTCAGAGGCCTACAAGCAGCTCTCTTCAGAGGTCCAAAGGTCTTTAAGTTAGGATAGTAGTTGTGTCATCATCGTTTTTTTGTTTATATTTTTTCAAATCTGTTATCGTGCATCACTGCTCATGATCGTAGGGCCCTTTTAAGCTACCATGACACTGCTCACTTCCCACAAAGCATGTATTACAGGTCACAACCTCTCTATGTTTAGCTGACTCCCTTCTGTCTTCCAGATAAGTGCAATCTCAAAACATCCTAAGGAGTCTGCCTCTCCTGGCGTTCTATCTTTGTCTCACGCTCTCTGACCCTTTGACCGAGCCCTGATGTCACACTGACTCTGGGTTAAGTGGACAGCTGATCTAATTTGGAATATTACGCCGCTGACTCACACAAACACACATCACAGATGTCCCGTCATTACCTTGAAGCAGCTTTTGAACTTCTTGGAGACAAAGAAGAGGATGATGGGGTTGATGCAGGAGTTGATGGTCGCCATGTTAATGCTGAAGTAGTCCAGCACCAGGAGAAAGCTGTAAGAACAGAGACGAGTTACCGGGGATGAGGCAGCACCAGAGGAAAGACAGCAGCAAAGCTCGTCCGTGTGTGTCTCTGCCCATACTTTAGGAGCTCGCAGCGGTGGGCGTCGTGAGATTCGTAGATGGTCCTTTTCAGCAGACGACTCAGGTGAAGAGGGAACCAGCAGAGAGCAAAGATCAACACCAGGCAGAAAACGGCTTTGGCCACTTCCCGCCGCTGTGAAGGACAAAACCATCACTGTCTGACCAGCCCGAGAAAAAAGTTGAAACTGTGTGCAAAACTGAAATGCAATCAGAACTCAGTTGTTTTCATAAGTGTCACATAAAATTAAAGAAAACGTACAAGTGTTAAAGATTAGGCCAATTTGGCTGCTTAACGAAAAACTATTTGCTCATATTGAATTTGATGGGTCAGTGACATATTCCCGCAGCAGTGCACTAATGTGTTTAAATGTGCACATCTGGAAAATAAATATTCATTCTGAACGATTCATGAAATGTAGAGCTACCAGAATCAATTAACATGATGTGTTATCAAGATCAACCCAAATTATAAATAACTTAATTCTGTTTCTTTCTCCATCCAACAAAGCTACACAAACGTATTGGGAATTGAGGTTATTTTAATTGTTTGTGTGCAAACCTGTTTCAGGTGTTCACTCAGAGAGAACTTCAGACTTCCTTTCTGGTGCCTGAGCATTTCGCAGGTCATGAGGCCGTAGAAAACAGCTGAGCAGGCCAGAGGGACGCAGAAGTAGAACCCAAACAACCACCAATCCTTCGCATCCCGGTAAAACTGGAACACGCAGAAACACACGCTTTTCTGTATTTTTGAGGGTCAAACAGCTCTCAAAAGATAAGAATGTCAGAAAAATGCAGTTGAGCAACTTCAGGAGTCAAGTAGCTCCTCATGCAGCTTTCATCAAACTCCCTGTGACCTCATTCAGGTACATAAGAATTGAGATAGTCCAGATTTCCACACATGCAGTCATGTTTTTGGTATCTTGTAAAAGGCTGCCTATTGAATTTGTATGTTTGTTTTATAGTCAGTGATTTTTGAATTTGCAGTGTTTCGATCTGATTAATTTATCTTTTGGGATGTTAGTGTTTCCAGATAATTCTAACTGATTTTTGTTCATGGTTATACTTTTTTGGGGTGTTTCCCTAACACATCTGTAAACAGGCTGGTAAATTGTGTTCATGGTTGGGATTTGTATCAAAGCACTGAATGTTTTTCTTCCTGTTTCGCCATAGCAACAATCAAGAAACGTGCAAACATTTGGCTTTTCTTTTAAAATTCAAAGATGAAAAATGTGTGTTGGAATTGCCTATATTCTTCTAACCAGGCCATTTATAGGTGTATATCAAATTTAGTTTATTTCTTCTTTTTTTGCACCATGAAAGGTCTGTAACAAGCCGTTTGCAAAGTTCTCTCTTAGTCATGCATCCTCTCTTAGTCAAGCATCCTTGCAAGTATTTTGGTGTGGGGAAGATAGCGCGCTGATGGATAAGAAAATTATTCTTAAATATTCATCTGAAGGTTTTCTGTAAAAAAAGACTGTAGTTGGAAAGGCTAAATGTAATGCAGTTCGCACACGGCTTTCTGCACAGGTACCCTGTGTCCTGGAGCACTCTAAAAACTAAAAGTTGTGTCTGGTGGAAAGAACATTAAGATCCTCTAGAGTTACCAGAAGGCTTCATGGATGAGTTCCTTCTAATTTAGTTTTTTCTTTGATTATTTCTTTGGGTTTATTTCATCCACTGAAGCCACAACATCCAAAAATACTTTGAGTCCATCAAATCGCTGGAATCATTGTCTGTGTCATTCTAAGACTCATTCTCCATTGGATTGGACAGTGGGATGATGAATGCATGTATCAGAAGTATCTTGACATGTTTGGACTTCAAAACTTCCCTGAGTAATTTGTTTTTAATATTTCTCTCGTTGAGTAGCCACCAGTCCAATCTCACTAACACAATACTTTGTCAATATAACGTTTATCGAAGGAACTGAAAGTCAAGAGACTGATGACAGGTGAGCTGACCCACGTTCAGATGCAGGCTGCAGCGCCGAGCTTGTTTAGTCCGCTCACAAACCGGAGACATAAACAGGAAATGTTGCTCCAAACTATCTGAGAAACAGAGACCTCGCCCAGAAACTCCACAACAAAGAGAGGGTGGAAATGGACTAGACTTTTTGTTTGCTTTCCCTCCACAGAGAGCATGCATCATCCACATAAGTAAGGGCCTGTTGGGTGTTGATAGGTAATGATTTAAATCCAAACCTCTGGTGGAACATCTAGATCACACACCGAGCCACCAGTGTGGCATAATTTCTGTAAAGATTTGTCAGTAGAGGCTAAAGGCGACTGGGGATCATACAAAACAGATTTTGTTATCTCAAAAACCATCATTTTCTGCTTGTTTAAAAGTACTGATTAGATGTTTCCTTGGAGCCTAAGAAGACGTTCTGTCACACTTGAGAGTACAGATTTGTTTAAAGTCTCTGCAAATGCTCTCAGAGGCTTCACCAACGCCACAGCCACTCTTAATTTACGGGTGATAGATATCAAAACACTTACAGACCACACAAATAAATGTGACAATCTCCCTCCCCAGGCGCTCTCAGAAACGACAGCGTTCTGTAAACACTCACAGTCATGAAGGGCGTCTCGGGCTGCAGCATGCAGGTCGTCATGCTGACATTTTTGTAGTCGAAGGTGACCATGTTGAAGCCGATGGCCTCTGGCACGGCCAGAGTGATGGAGAGAAGCCAGATCACCACTATCTCCACGGCTGTTATCGTGGGAACACCAGTGCCCTGCACCCGTGACCAAGATGCCACTGCACGGTACCTACAGGGAGAGTTTGAGACTTTATGCAGAATGTCTAACAAATTCAAGCCTGAGCCACATAGCAGCACATTAATGAATAACTGTTCTAGTTTTGTTTTGTTTAGTTTTTTTGGCCTCATGCATAAAAATGGGAATGAAAGGAGATATCAAATCTAAATGTTTAACTTTTAGGTTAAACCCTAAAATGTGTACAATAATAGAGATGCTGGAACAATTTTACATGTTTTATCAGGAGATTATTTCAGATTTTCTAAACAATCAGTTCTGCTGTGATATAGAATGTGGGAGTTCTTTGTATTCAGTGTTTGTGTTCAGTGTATTATTATTGTCATTATTATTATGCACATGGCCTTTTTTGCAACATGACAAAACCCCTTGAAGCATTTTCTAATGATACCAAGTCCTGCTTGTGGCAAATAGCCTTTATTTAACAATAGGCTAGGCATGTAGTTGAAACGATTTCGGTTATCATCCTGTCGGTGTCATATTTAGAGTTCTCACCTGCGAGGCCAGAACAGACCCCAGACTGTTTTATTACCTGTCCACGCTCAGGGCACACAGGTTGAGGGCGGTGATGCCGACCGACGCTTTCTGCAGGAAGGGGAACAGCTTGCAGAGGAACAGGCCGAACACGCTGTCGGCAAAGGGCCAACTCATCGCCAAGAGCTGCGAGCACACACACACACACACGAACCGATGAAGCCAACAGATGAAACCGAGGCCCCAGGGCCAGAGAATGCTGGTGTACCCTCACTGTGAGTATGCAGTGTTGTCACCCTCATGGGGGTATTTTTGGGCTGTTATCAGTGTAACACTCAGAGGTGTGACCTCCTGACTGAGACACACAGGACAAGCTGCCAGTTTTTTTGTTGTTTGTTTTTTTACAAAACATCCATCATGATTTTCCACATAAGCAGCACAAACAATTGCTTGAACACAGAACCTGGTGCGCTATACCTTGTAGACATTGATTGGTATGTCCACTGCTATGTAAATGAGGTCTCCGAGGGCGAGGCTGGCGATCAGAGCGTTGGGCCCGTTCCTCATGGTCTTGTTCTGGTAGATAATCCTCAGCAGGGTGGCGTTGCCAATGACGCCTACGGCAAAGATCAGGCAGGACAGCACCGTGTTGATGTACTTGAAGGCTTTTTTTATGGACGTGGTCTGCAGGCAGGCGGGGGGCAGGACTGCGTTCCTCTGAAACACCAGCGATGAGTTGGAGGGAGACGCGGGCTTCGGTTCGTGTTTGTGTTTCAGCTGGTCCAACTGCTTCAGCCTCCCTGGCTCGGGCTCCATCTGGACCGGGGGCTTCTGAGCAGTCTCTTGGGAGGGATGCTTCCCTCCGTTAGAGGTGTGGATGTGGTGGCTCAGCCGCAGCCGGGAAGGCGGCTCAGGTGTCCTCAGTCCTGACGGGTGAAAATCAGGCTGAGACGTTCCGTTCGTTTGGCCGCAAACAGGACTGACCAGCACCAAAGCGCAGACGGTCAGCAGCAGGGCGAGCCGGCCATGGAAGGCTGTGTTTTTATGTCCCGGTCTGGGAGCCACTTTGCTCCCAAAGCACTTTGCAGAATCTGCTGCTGTTACCGCACACGTCATCCTGTGGCTCAGTGGGAAGCCTGAACCAATTCCTGAGACCACGTTTAAGGAAAAAAGAACTAAAAAGAAAGTTTTGGAACAAGCTGTATTTCCAAAACTTGATATACACTCAGAGCTGGTTCATGGATCAGTTGTGCCTGGTTTGGAACTTCCCCTTCCTTCAAAAGGTATTCAAGAAGGCAGGTGTGACAGTGGCTCCAGATGTCAACATCTGTCTCAGTCGGTGAAGAGAAAGCTGTTGGAGATTCTCAGATGACTTTGGGGTTCGCAGGGTCAGAAAATCTGGAGAGAGAGCGATAGTTTAGTCAGAAATCTTTCTCAAAGGCAAACTCTGTGACTTCCTCTGGATCATTTTATACCACAGGACAAACTCGTTGGACCAATGAAAAGCATCTTGCACCTATATTGAAATGTAAGGATGTATCTAATTGCAGTACCGGGCAAGGAAATATAGGGGGGAAAAAAGGATCAGGAGTTTTATACAGATTTATGGTGTGTACACATCCAAGATTGAAACAACCCCAACATCATGAAAATTACTTTTAGTGGAAAAATATTCCACCGCACAATAGATGCATCAAACTGAAATCAGTTGCAAAATAACAGTTAACCCCTGTCATGTTTTTATCACAGTAAAACAGCTAAATTAATCTTTTGCTCCCAGATGATGTAAAGGCTCCTTACTAAGCCCCGCAGATAATTAAGTGTAGTTTCATCACACTCTGCCTCGTCCCTAAAACATGTCATTATTAACCTTTGTGTGTTTCAACATATTGATCACAGGAGGCAAACCTCGTGTCAGTTAGTTTCTTTAGGTGAAAGGTTACAAAGAATGGTAAATTCCACCTTGCTCCCGCTTAAAACTGTTTGAATGTGCTTATTCGGGGCAACCGAGATTTGACAATTCATTCTATCAAAGATTGTCTGTATGTCGGTGAGGAGGAAGAGGAGAGAAGCAAACTGCATTTGAACGGGAAGCTTCCTTTTCCCAAAGTTTGGGTGCAAATCTGATCTCTTTAGACGAGAAATGGATCGTTTACCTTTTTTAACATAAAACAATAAACTTCTTGCTGGACATTCCATCAGAGCAAACATCAACAGCTAGATAAGAAAAAGGCTGACGTCTCACCTGTTTGTGGCCTCTCAGAGATTCGGTCCGACTCTTCAGTGGAAAGCTGGAGAAGCAGAAGACTGAGCTCTGCTCAGACAAAACTAACCAAGTCTTATGGAGCTCCGTTTTTACTTCCCTTCCCTCTTCTGCTCACCACCTTCCCACTTTTTCTGCCCCTTCCTTCCCCTCTGCCTCCTCCCTCCTCTGTCATCTGTCGTCAGCCTCATTTTCAGCCTCTCCTCCTACTCTTTGCTGGCCCTCAACCCCCTCCTCTCCCACCTTTCCTCCCCTCTGCTTCCTCTCTTCTTTGCTCAGATACAGTGGAACATCTCATAAGCCCATAAAGACATGAGGCTACTCTGAACTTTTACTGTCTGACAGCCATAGACATTCTGAGGGTAGCTGACAACAAGCCAAATTTCCCACTAAAAACGTGGAAATGGAGGTTGTAAACCCGGTAACTGGGACAGGGGTGTTTGAACACAAGTGAGGCCAGACTTTGTCTTTATGATTCAAGTATGTGCAATTAGGTTTGACGTAGACTTTTATTAGCTCATGTTTTTCATATATGCACACAGACGAAGCAACACCGAGCTAAACGGCATCACATTTAATCATCTGTCCAGCTCTGCCCCTTTATCAGGATCTTCAATCAGGATGTGAGGAACTTGGGCAATGACCGGTTTAGGTTAAACTGCTGCAAAACACCGTTTTGCAGCAGTTGCTTAGTCGTGTTCCTTTGCATTTTTTAAGATTTTCAGAGGAAAACCAAGTGTGAACTGATTGCTATCCTCTGGCTCGGTTGTTTTAATGCTCCGCTGGCAAGTCTGGAAGTGAGAACAGTAAAACCAAGCAAGTCATCTGGCACTAAGGGTAGTGTTTGGTGTTTTATTACCAAAGACATTTTTAAAAAGTGCTTGAGTATCATTTTAAAAATCTCATTTAACTCAGCTGCCAGATTCATTTCTAGGCCTGCACCACAGTTAAATTAAACTCTATAATGCTGACCCTTAAGACTTTTTTCACACACATTTTTTAACCAATTTTTTCTCCATGCATTACAGATAACCTGATATGTGTCTGTGAAACTTTTGTCACCTTTGGCAGGCAATGTCCAAAGAAAGACTTGTAAGATCCATAGAATGCTTGAAGAACTGTTTCTCATGGCCAGGATGCAGGATGCACGGTGTAGTCTTCATTTTGGTGCCAAAACGTTGTTTAAAGTTAATACTGCTAACCTTCACTCACATCTTAGCCTAGTGACACACACACACACAGATGTATTTGATTTGGCTTCAGAATGAACAACATGCAGTTCATGTTGAGTTTACACATGTCTCTGTTCTAACCTTTGACCCAGGCCAGCTGATGTCAGGCCTAAATCAGCTTGAGGAGAAGCCCATCTCATCTTTATCACAGAGCGTCGGAAGAGATATGCGGCGCGTCAGCGTGTGAGTTTGTGTGTTTATTTATCACAATAAACTCAGAGATAAACAGACAAAAGCTCTACGTGACTCGAGCCACGCCGCCGCATAGCAATCAGTCTCCCCGCCACACAGACGCACACTCAGCTCGCTGGCCTGAAGCCCAAAGGTGGCAGATGAATGTTAAAAGTGACGTCCTGCACCGCTCAAATCTGTTCACAGTTTTCATCAGTAAATCGAATAGGCCAAAGAGCAGCAGAGCCAAACACTCAATGAAGGCTCTAAAGGAAAGAAATTATGAGGACATTTTAATCTGTCTCAAATGAATGGTGTATTAGGTCAGATCAGGAGTCCTAAATATAACAGGGTCAAAGACAAGCTAGCTAAATGAATGAAGAAGACATGAGAGAGGTTAAAGGAAGTCGGGCACCATTTATCAAAAGATTAACAAAAATCTTATACCAAAAAGATATGTTTGGGAGGGATTAGACCTCAAAATTAGGAGCCTCACAGCAGAGACAGAGACAAAAATGAAGCAGAAAACTAAAAACTCTTAATCTTGTTTTGCTCCTGGAGATTTTGGTGCACTACAAGTCTGTCAAAGCTCCAAAGAAAAAGTTATTGTCTTCTAATGAGGCTTGTGAGATTACTGATATGAAATAGAGCTAAGCCGTTGAGGCTTTTGTTAGATTTAAGAAGATTTTTGCGTTCTATTTTTGATTCTTTCAGACACCCAGGGCTGTGCTTGTTTGATGTGTGGACCAAGTTATGTTTAAACTTTGTATGTTTCAGTTTCTTCTCCATCCATTAGAATTACTTTTAACATGGACCTACTTTTTTTACATCTCTAAAGGAAATCAAAGGCGTGTTTTGAAATTATGTTAACTCTCATTTTTTAGACTTCTGTCTGTCACCATTATTTGTGTAAACTGGATTGTATTTGTGGGAAAGCGCAAGGCAAAAGAGGGGAACAATGAGATTTACTCTGTTAAATTTGTTTAATTGAAATACATCCTGGCTTTACTGCAGAGATGAAAAGGATTTATTGTAACTCTAAAGAGTTATTGCTGTGATTTGAAGCAGAAACCGTATTTCTCAGCTTCTTAGACCACCTACTGTTTATGTTATTGGTCTCTTGTATTAGAAGTATCACTGTTTGCCGTCTTCTCACTTCTCGCTTCAAAAAACACTACTGGTTAATGAACAAATTACCCTTTAAACTAATTAAAATGAGAGGAACAAACAAGCCACATTCAAGGAGCAGATCAGTTCCAGATTCTCGCCGATGCCAGGAAACAGCTGCCGGTTTTCACTCTGAATGTCAGGCTTTATTAAAAGCCCTTTGAAGAACAGAAACTGGTCTATCACCAACAGGCCGAGCGCAGTGACTCTATAAGTGAGTTTCCATCCAGTTGTGGTTAGAGTTTGATGGAAAGTTTCTTTCAAAGAACCAGAAAAACAGCATCTGCTCTGAACTAAGCAAGAAAACATTTGTGTTTGTGGACATTTGCAGAGTTAAATGATAAAGATATACATCGTGATTAAACACATTACCAGTTAATCGATTTATCACAGATGCCTTGTATATGTTCAGCTTTCTTGGCAGGAAAATCACTGTCAAGGACTGCCTCCACTTGACTTCCACCGACTCCAGACCACTTTACTAACTTTTTCTCCGATGACTCTGACCAAGTTTGGTGCAAACTGGTGAGCAGAGGCTACGCCATGGGTGGATACTCCTTTTATACCTAATCCAGACACCCTCGCCTGGAACCATCTTCTGACTGAAGAATCTTCCAGAAAACACTTATTAATTAAAAAATAGCACTCACTAAAGACACTGAGATGGTTTCATTACATTTTTTGTTGGGTAAATCAAGGGCGGATTGACAATGGTGAAATATGCCATGAAACCAGGTAAACATTGTAGTTTTCTGCTTTATTAATTGTTTCTCTTATTTATTAAAAACCCATATATTTACTGGCTATATTGCAAAACCAGATCGATTCTTCCTCGGGATAAAAGTCTACTTTCTAAATGGAGCCAGACAGGTAAGCAGGCTCATTGCGACACCCAGTGTTGGAACGCGGTCCGGCAGGCGTTGTCATGGCGACATCACTCCGTATTCGGCTGCGGTGGAAACTTATAGCAAAGATTTTGGGTGTGTACAAACTTCAGATTATACTTTTCTGTGTCGTTAGGTGTTAGTTTTCTGTGGCTTTTATTAAAAGTAAAGACACGCAGACACAAATAATGACACTGTGAACACTGTGAACGTTTTTCTTGACGGTTTGTTAGTTGTAGTGTCTCTCGCAGCGTTACACAGTATTTACACAGCTTATGTGAATTATAACGCAATAAATGATCAAAACAACCAACTGAAGTTTCTCTGCTACCGAGTACATTATTCAAGCTAACTTTTAAGGCCTTTTCTTTCCTTTTTAGTGTAATAAACGTTATGTCTTTTATTCTCCTTAATTTTGTTGTTGTTCTAAGTGTACAGTTGTGTTGTTTTTATCATCTAAGAGTGTGTGTGTGTGTTTGGGGGGGGAGGGTTGATTACTCCAATTTATGTGGTTGAATTATGTGGTTGAATTATGTGGGTCATCATCAGCAGCTCATTTATCTAAATGCAAGTAGTTTAAAACATAACCTCTTCTTTGTTATATTGAAATTTCTAATTGGATTCTGTATCTCCTGTAGGTCAACTGAAAGGTGAAGATGAATGCAGCGGAAGCACGTGGACCCCAGGAAGTGGTTCTACCAAAGATCAAGACTGATAGCGGGAATCAGAGGAGTCCCCAGTACAGGTGGTGCACAGCTACAGGGCTTAGAACAAAGTGTCAAATGTAGACAATTTCAAATCCTGGTTCACAAGATCTGTACCATCTTTAAAACCCCAAATACAAAAACAAGAGACTAAACAAACAAGAGGAAGTCCATGTACAAGTCTGTCGTTGGGCTCTTTGTTTTGAGCCAGTCCAATTCACTCAAAGCCTGTAAACCTAATGGAACTTAAACTTATGGAAATAACTAACCGATAAGTAACTGAAAACAATAGCAAACAAATCCAACGCAGACTTAGGCTGATGCTGCTCCAGTTCCCTGGTGGTTTTGGTTAAATACAGGCCCATGTGGGCGTATTCCATCAAGACTGTGCTGAACAGAGAGGAAAAACAAATGTGCTTGCATTGTCCTTACATTGTAGAAAATCTATGCATCTCTAACTATGCATTCGTGAAAGGTTTATTTATGTTAAACACCCATAAGATAAACATATTAGAGAGTAAAATTTAATGTTTTTTTTCCACTCAAAACTTAACCATTCTTTGTTTAAATTATGCAGTTTATCATCAACAGCCATCTTGGTTTAGTTGATATATACAATTCATGCATTACTCATGTGACGAAATAAACTATCATTCAAGCTCATATTTAACCTTTTAGGCCCCTCTTTCACATTAGAGTACGGTGCATCGTTGTGTTTTGGGATGGAAATTTGGCTGCATGTCCTTAGAAGCAGAGGAGCAGTCAAAGTAGTTTCTTGTGAAGCAGTAAAATCCTGTCTGTATGTGTGTGTGCGTGTGTGTGTGTGATCACCAGGATGAAGAAGTCAAAGGACTTTTTCAGAATTGGGGGCGCTTTTGATAACTCACCACAGAACCTTTCCAAGAAAGAAATTGCAGAGTAAGTTCAGTTTCTTCAGTCGTTTAGACCCAGACAAAAATCTTCTCTTTATCTATCTGCCGCACATATTGTGATTACAAGCAATTCCCCCTTTCCATTTGTTTTTCACTGGGGATCATTCCGAAACAGACCAAAAAGGACACACAAAGCAATGAACTGTGTACAGGTTTTATTTTTGTATCATATCTACTCTGATCTGTTCAATGGCTTTATATGGGATTATGTTGATTTAAATGTTTTATCAATGTTATTGTGGGGGTATTTTAGGTACAGTATTTAAGATAGACATGAATGAAAAAGGTTTCTGTTCCGAATGACATCTTGGTGGTAGAACTTTGTAGTAAATCCTTAATAGTTTTGTCACAAAGTTAGGCTCCGTGCTGTCTAAAGGGCTTTTAAGAGAAGTCTGTGTGCCCTCTGCTGCCACCTAGCGGCCGTGCTTATTATTGCCTTCATTGTGTATGTTATGTTTGAGGCGCTTTCCTGCTTCTCTCGTCCATAATGACTGGTGATCTTCCATCGTTGTCATCCCAGGTTCAGAAGCAGTTCAAAGCAGTTTGTCTGCGTGGAGCTGCTGCAAGATGGCAACCACAAGTATGTGTTACTGTTCCCCCCCACACGGGTTTGTTGTCCGGGCATCCAGACATCCCTCAGCTACACGCTGTCCTGGGTCTTTTCTTTGTCTGATTTCTAACCTTTTGTTTGTTTCCTTCTACACTGGATTCTACCAATTCACAGTGTTGACACGTTTTAAATTCTTTTACCTCTGTTTGTTGTCACTGTTGTTCACAGAAAAAAAAAAGAAGTAATCTCTGAAAAGTAAACTGTGCCTCTATGTTCCCCTGTGCAAGTGTCCACAGTTTTGCTAACACAGTCCTACACTGTTTTGAATTCTGTCTTCAAGGACATTTTCAGAGCTCTTCTCTCTGCTGTGCCTGGATAAGGATCAGAGGAACTCGCTTCATCCGGACACATCCACGCTTCGGGCGCCCCTGCTGGAGGAGCAACTGGAGAAAATGGAGACCATAAAGCTGCACCTGAGCAGAGCCGAGCAGGCGGAGAGGACAGGTGCACAAAACACACACGCCAGCTGGTGAAACCGCGACTCCGGCACGCTGGAGTTTTTAAGGCTGGACGTTGTTGTTTGCAGGTTCCTGGACAGCGGTGTGTGAGCAGCGTCTGCTTCTGGGCCTGCACTTCTCGGCTCCGGAGGATGTCTGGCTCGCTTTGTATTTCTTCCACAGCTGTGCGGACAGAAAGCATGGGGGGGGCTCCAGAGCGGCCACGGAGGCCCGGGCCTGCCTGGCTGACATCTACCTGCGGCGAGGTGGGCAGCGCATCCTAAGGGGGGGGCGGGGGTTGATACTAAAAAATATCCAAACTGAGAGAAGGAAAAGACCATTTAGAAAACTCCTGCCATGTCCTTTTGCAGGTGACCTGGAGCAGGCGAGGCAGCAGGGGGAGCTTTGTCTGAGACAGGCGGAGGACGGAGGCTGGTTGGATTCGTCGGGTGTGTCCCTAAAGCTCCGGGCCTGCCTGGTACTGGGGAAGACCTATGGCTGGCTGGCTGATGCTCAGCTGGCGGCTTCTGACTGCGATAAGGCCTTGAAGCTGCTGCACAAGGGCCACAGCATGTCCAAAGAGTGTAGGTAGAACAACTGTCCATCCAAGTTCTGTGGGCGCGAGTGATGATATGACCAGTGAATACTCACAGAAAGACTGACTCATAAAGCATCACAACTAAAATGAGGAAGCACTGGTTCTTTTGAAGCAGGAGGGAACAAAAACTTTGCTGAACCCTAAATGTTCCCACCTAATGTCTCCACAAATGTAAATACTCTTGTTTAGTTTTGAACTGCATGAGAACAACAGCTGAGACCTGGGAATATGTGGGTGATTTGCGTTGTTCTTGTTCGTTTTAGGTGACAACAAGCTGATCGAGGCGGAGGTTGTATTTCGATTCGGACTGACCCATCAGAGCTCAGGTGACCAAGAAACGGCCAAACAGGTGAATCTAATCTTACTGAGCCTGAATATGGTAACAAGTTCAGATTTCACTCGGGCTTGCTGGTTTGAGCATTGATATGTTATAATCTATTTTAAAAAAGCACCAATAGTGTCTTTGGCAAATTCTTTGAACAAGGTCATGCGTTTGCCGGGGACTATTTTTAGGGGTGGATTAATATGCATTTAGTCCTTTGGGACTATTTGGTGGCAAATGGAAGGATGGCAGATGAATTAGTGCCTGTCTATACTGTTTTGTAAAAGGTCAAGCCTACAGCTTTGAGAATTGAGGGATTAAACACTGACCCCAAATTACAAACAGATTAACATGACACTGAAGAGTAATTCCACGAGAGGCAATGAGAAGAAACATCGATCATGTGGCTTTTAGCAGATGGAGTCTGCTGGAGAGGAGCAATAGTCTTGATAGTGTTGCCAAATTTATTTTCTACTTGACTTGTAATCCATCCTGCTAATATAGTTACAGTATGCTGGGTAGTCAATGGAGAGCATAAAAGATGGTTACCATCCCCAGCTTGTCCTTCATATGTTAGTATTTAGTACACAGTGTTACTTTACAGGGATTGCAGAGAAATGCTGGAACTTTCCTTTTAGGGGTTTTATTAGGGTGCAAAAAGCAAAGTGGAGAAGTTTCCTTACACTCATTCAGAAGCGTGTTCAGCCAGAAATAAAAAAAATCTGGACAGTGTCTCCGAACCTAGTTATCGGCAGCAGCCATTACTCCACAGAACTGAACGTTCCGTCTTTGGTGTAGCTGTTAAATGTTATCTTTTGTCTTTTCACAAATGTTATAAACTTTTATTGAACCACAGAAGACGATTACTTCCCATCTACTAATAAAACATTGTATTTCCAGTTCTTTAACACCTGTATAGAAATCTACAACTCACTTCAGAATAGAGATGAAATAGTTAAGGTCCTCAAGGCTATGGCAAAGTCTTTTGAGAAGTACGTACTCACACGAACACACGCACACACACACACACACACACACACACACACACACTTAAATAAGCATGCAGTTAAGTTTCAAATCTATATCCTTTCTGAGATGCTGATACATGTCTGTCTTTACCAATCGGAGTCACTCAAGTGTTTATTTCATGTGTGTGTGTGTGCGTGTGCGTGTGCGTGTGTGTGTGTGTGTGTGTGTGCGCGCGCCAGGGAGGGAAACATAGAGGAGACTGTGCAGTGTCTGGAGAAGTCAGCAGACATCTGTCGAAGCAGCGGACTGCCGAGCAAATTGGCTGATATCTGTCTGTGCCTGGGCAACATCTACTATAAAACGGTATCAAAAGCAAACACAGTCACTTTCAACCTGCAGAGTCGGAAGATCTAAGCGGTGAGCAGCTGTAGAGGCGTTCAGTTCCACAGTGTGAAAGCACGGCTGCTCTTTTCCTCCGCAGAGTCAGTATGTCAAAGCATACAAGTGCTTCCTGCAGGGTTATGAAGTGGCCTGTGAGGCAGGAGATGTAGCGCTGCTGCAGAAAGCACAGGTGAGTCTTTTTTTAAGCCATTTCTGTCCAGAACTCGGACAGAACTACTGCTCCATCACAGGGCTTTCACAGTTTTTTTGTGTTTTTAGGAGATTGGTTGTCTGATCTCAGTGAATCGGTTCAAACATAGGAAGAAATTATAAAAACTGAAGTTCACAGCTGCCTGATCAGTAATGCACACGTTCATACAGGCGTGGTATTTTGTCTCCTTTATTTGGGGACAATCAAATCCTACACTGTTCTGTGTTGTAACCCCTTTTTTTTCTCTCTCCCTCTCTTTGTTCCCCTCTCTGCTGTCTCCATCAGGTGATGGTGGGCTGCTCATGTGCTCTGCCTTTGATCAGAACGTACAGCTCAGACATGGAGTCGGCCTCATCTGCCACTGTGAAAAGGCTGGTGGCGTGGAAGGAGAGCAGAGGACACCAGGACCTAATCACAGATCCAGCAGAGTAAAGTGCTGCTGCCTGGTACCCACTCCTGATCAGATCAGGCAAACATCCAGAAACGTACAAAACTGACCAGCTCATAAAAGCAATCAAAAACATTTTACAGTAAATAAAAATCTTTACAACACTGACACTTTTATTTCATTCTGTCAAACACTGAATTTGCTTTCAGTTCTGTCACTTGATCAACAATCAAAGCACTGAAAAAAGATATGTAAAGCCCTGTGTAAATAACCTTGCTTTCAGGCAAATTTGTACTTTCTAAGGTTTTAATTTACTGTTTAATAGAGCAATAAGAGCTCAGACACTCAGCTGTATACCTGCATGTCAATGGCAAAAGACTAATTGAAATAAGTGGTTAAACTTCTATTGATTGACTTATACACTGTGATATTTGTCCTCTTTAAATAAATTTGCACTGTGACAAACCAACCTCACACAACAAATCTCACTGATAAAGCGATTATTTTCTATGCATACAAATCAATAAATAATTGGATGTTTTTTTGCAAAATTATTGTTTAGACCAACTGAAATGGCTATCAAAGCTACATGCCCTTCAAATATCTAATTGGAGATTTTTTTAAAATGTCACCACAGTGTATAAATGCGTGCTCTTTCTTAAATGTATTTCCCTATTCCTCCGCTGTGGATAGATGGATGATGGGATTCCCTGACTCTGTTCATGGTCTTTGTATGTCTTTTACGGTAATTGTACATTAAAAATACCGTGCGCCTCTCATTTCGTGATTACGGTTACTCCGAGCACCCACGTGTCCGGAAGAAGCTTGGGCAGTTCTGCTTGTGTTTTGTGTCAGAAAAGCCACCAGAGAAGAGGCAACAGAGTTGAAGAAACTTCAGCCCGGCGGGGTGGCCGGTGAGTGGGCCCAGAAACTTAAAAAATGGGCCTGCTGGCGATGCTGCGGAAGGAGTGGTTCACCATCGGAATTGCGTTAGTCATCTTATCAGCCAAACTGCAGCCCAGCATCGGTGTCAAAGGAGGTGAGATATTTTTATCACGGCTTAAAATCATCAGCTGTGCTTCGAAATGGTATGTTCAATGCACAATAGGCAATACATCTCTTTATTTGACTCTTGTATCGCGTTAAGAACTGATCTTTTGGAAACATACTCATATTATTAAGACCCAAACTTAGTTGGAAATCGCCACAAGACATAGAGTGTCTGACTCTTAACTTACTTAACCTAACACTGGAAATAATATTAGGTGTATCTCGTGGATAGAGCACATCCTGTGTGTTTTTTTTTTCGTGTCGTACCTGGCAGTGTAATGACACGTTGCATTGGGCAGCAGTGTCAACACACTCGAACGCACCCGTGAGCTAATTTTTTATTTATTTTTTAGGAGACTCGTCCTGAAATCTCTCACACCTGATGTGAGAACACATGGGAAAACTGAATCATAGATAAAAGCGGCTTTATCTCCGTGATAATAAATGACCTGATAAGCGGCAGATCAGCAACACCTTAATATCTCACCTGTGGGTGATGCCTTACTACTGGCACCGTGATGCCTTAAGGGTGTCCTCGTAAACTTTCTGATCAATTTAGATGAAAGGCATTTAACAAGTTCTGGGCTTCCATATCACAAAAAAAGTTTTTAAAAAAGAGACAAAAAAATCACATCAAATGTATCCTGGGATGTAAAAGAGGGATGAATATTTCTTCTTCTTTGAAGTTTTATGGTAAAAGATCTTGTTAACCTATCACTTGTGCTGGGTATAATTTTCAGATCAGAAAATGCTCCATCTTTTACTTTATCGTATGAATTATGTCATAATTAATTAAAACAACAAGTGATGTTGTCCTGTTGAAACACCTCATGCTAATTTTGATAGCTGCTCTTCTGTGACTTGTCAACCACCATGTTCCTTTTGGTCCATCCGCTTTGTAGTTTCAGCATCTTTTTTTTTTTTTTTTTTTTTCCATTGCTTTGTTCTATGTTTTGTTTTTTGTTACTCAGTTGCATATTTGTCAGTCAATTCTATCCCCTTCTACGTAAATATTTCTTCATTTTTATGTAGAGTCTGGTGCAGTTCAAATAAATTCAAATAAAACGGACACAGCTCTTAATATCATAAGACACTAGAAATGAGAAAAATCAAATGCTCTGGAATCAGATCCCCTATCGATATGTGAGGAGCAGAGCCGAGGTTCCTTGTTTTTAATCTGCAACGTTTGAAACAACAGCTCACCATATATATCACCTTATATATCCTAAGATATTAAGAGCCAACCCCTGCTGTCATTGGCTGAGAAGTGGGGTACCAGCCTATCACAGGGATTTTTAAGTTTTTTTTCTGCTCTTTTGAGGGTTAATACTTCAATTAGATTTGCATCTAACAAGAAACTTGAGATTAGATTGTTGACAAGTCTACTGATGTAAATAACTCATCCCCCTGTCTCCTTCAGGCCCATTAAAGCCAGAGATCACCATAGCCTACGCCGCCGTCTCTCTCATCTTCTTCAACAGTGGCCTGTCGCTTAAAACGGAGGTGAGAAGCCAAGCTCCGACACGTTCAGGCGCAGTGTGATAAAGCTTCCCTCGTGTCATAAACGTTTCTCTTTATCTGTCTTTGTGTTAGGAGCTGACCAGCGCGCTGCTACACGTCCGCCTCCACCTGTTTGTGCAGTCATTCACGCTGATCTTCTTCCCGCTCGCCGTCTGGCTGCTGCTCAGGGTGCTCGCCCTGACGGCCATTGACCAATGGCTGCTCAGAGGGTAGGACCTGCTTAAAGCGCATGTGAATGCTGTTCTTTGTTCCCCTCTGTCTGATGGTACCTGAAGGGAGCCTTATGGATGGACACAAAGCCCAGCTTTCATGGTTATTACAGGCTATGTGTGTGCTGGAGTGTGTTTGTGATGCCGTGAGGCCCAGTTTTTGAGCAACACACCAGAGACTCGGCCCTCTTCTGAGGGCTCGGGTCTGTCTCAGGTTTTTGGGCCCATGCTGCTCAGACAGAGCAGTGACTGTGTGCCTCAGTGACCGTCAGTCTCTCATGTCATGGAGACCTGAACTCAACCTGGCTCAGGTTAATAGTTGCATGAATATTTATATAATTATGCAGCATCTGTCCAGAAGAGCATGCACACTTTTTTTCAGTGTGAATTACACCTATTGTCCAATTGTGGCCGGTATTATTTGACAATAATGTTGTCAGGAAGTAACAAATATGCTTCACATGGCTGTATTAAAAAAAAGGGGAAAAAGAGTTACAGCCCTCTCTAAACTGCATATTCAAAACTCCTAAATATGAGACAAGAAAACAGGAAAAAGCACATCTCTACATCAACAATGGACAGCAGAACTCCAAGCACTTTAGCTCTGGGTTCTTCTTCATGTCTTGTTTACTGTTTACCGTCAATCAGCAGTAGCCACGGTGACCGCGTCGATCTGTAATTAAATCAGCATCGTTATTCAATCGTAACTTCCTCGAATCTTTTTTAAGAAAATGTTTAAATTCCACTCCTGTGTGGAGGCGATAGGAAATGAGTCACACCCTGGTTCCTCACTCTCCATCTTCAACTTGTTTCCGTTGCCTAGGTTACAGACCGTGAGCTGCATGCCCCCCCCAGTGTCCTCCGCCGTTATTCTCACCAAAGCTGTCGGAGGCAACGAGGTAGTACACACCACATCGTTATATTCCACCCTTTGACAGAAGTGATGAGTGGCATGTTGACGTCTCCTTGGTGACAAATTGTTTGTGTGTGTGTGTGTGTGTGTGTGTGTTTGCGCCCGCAGGCTGCTGCGATCTTCAACTCAGCATTTGGGAGCTTCCTGGTAAGCCGATGGTCCGATTCGGAGCTGGAGAGGTGCAGGTTGAGTTGATGGGAGTGTGAGGCCGGGCTGTAATCACGTGTGTGTGTCCCACAGGGAATCGTAGTGACTCCGATGCTGCTGCTGCTGTTTGTAAGTCACACCCGCTGAGGGCTGGGGGGGGGGTGCTCTTTTTACATAGTTTGAGACAACTCAGGGATGCCCTAGTCAAGTTTGTCAGTGTTCCAAAGTCTGTTTTGAAAACTAATTTCTAAAACATGAATATTTTATGTTTACGTGCTTAAACTATTGATATGATTTTAAAAACTAACATTAAATCACAGATAGTGGAAAGTAATCGAACCCTTTTGCCTAGCAGAAACATTCACAATACCCCCTTCACGTGTTAAACAATCTTTGTGCACCTTTGTACAGATTTTTTTATCCCCAAACTTCAGGGAAATATAGAAAAAGCTAAATGTATGGAGCCATTTCCAAAGTTTAAATACTACTGAGATTTGAAGGAATTCACAAACCATTTGAAAATTTGAACGAGTTTTCTAACATTCATGTTTGGATTTAAACAGTTTTTTTCATTTGTCTCGCCTGTCCCTTCTCTTCCAGCTCGGTTCTTCATCTTCCGTTCCCTTCTCCTCCATCTTCTCTCAGCTCTTCATGACTGTGGTGGTGCCCCTGATCCTGGGTCAGGTAGGAAGCTCACCTGCCGGCGCCCAGACGGGCTGCTGAGCCCGGTGGCCACTGCGTGAGCTCTTTGTTTTATTTCTGCTCCGCCCGCAGGTGTGCCGCACTTTCCTCAGGGAGTTCCTGGATAGGAGGAAGCCTCCATTCGGCGCCATTAGCAGCGCCGTCCTCCTAATGATCATCTACACCACCTTCTGCGACACGTTCAGCAACCCCAACATCGAGCTGGACCCCATCAGCCTGCTGCTGGTCGTCCTCATCAGTGAGCTAGTAGCAAATAATATGGCCTTTAGTTAGACTTTTTTTTCAAAAATGTTTATCGATGTGGTATTTTTTATCTAATGAGGTTTCATTAGAGTCCGACATAAGTCTTGTTTATTGGTTTCACGTACTAGTCTAGGATTTTGATCTTGGATGAGTTTGTCATTTTGGGAAACATGGTTGTACATTAGAAGAGAGACAACAAAACACCTTAACCTACAGTTTAGATGAGCTCAGTGGAACCTTCATTCATTCTTTCCAGCAGCCAGCAGGTGGCAACACCTGCAGCTGTAAGTCAGGTTGTGCAGACGTTCAGCAGAGAAGAATCTTCCCGGGAGCTTTTTGGTACTGGAAGGGTTCTTGTTCCAATATTTAGTGTGTATCGGCCATATTTAAACAAGGTTTTGTTAAGTATGGATGAAAACTCCAACTCCAATATCCAATATTTGATATTTAATATCTACAAGGCTCGAAACAATGAGGATCCTGAGGATTAAATAATGTGTTTTGTAACTATCTGGTTCCAACTGAGAACTTGAGCTGCCACAATCTGAAATTAGTAAGAAACATATAACACTGATAAATTAACTGAGATGAACGTATGAGGAATTCGATTATAGTCACCCCTGAATTTATTCAACATATATTTGAACTGCCATTTTACAGTGTATTTCTATTTCTATGATTGAATCATAGAATAATCATTTCTGTAGTGTTTATCCCCCTTTTTATGTCATGTAATCTTTGTCCTCTCCTTTAGTTTCACTTTTACTTTATATTTCTTAGTCTTCAAGTTTCTGTCCCCAATAACGAGGAGTTTTTCGATAGTGTATAAAAGACTTTTCAGTTTGATGTGTAAAATAATGTTCTCCAATATAACCTAATGTAATGTCCGCAAGCTGTTGGCTTTGTAGTTTTATATTTAAAAAGCACAACATGTCAATTATCCTTTTTTTCCCCACAATTTAAAAAAAGTAATGATTTTCAACTTTTATATCCAGACAGTCCAGGAGAAGAAAACTAAGTAGATAAATAAATGTGCAACTTTAGTTTCAATGAATACACTTTTCTTAATTTCTTAATAACAAAGTGAAACCACCTTCTTTCGTTATCTTCTGCAGTTTTTTCCATCCAGATCAGCTTCATGCTGCTAACGTTTGCCTTTTCAACAAGGTAAGTCTCCACCCCTACGTTTTTCCACAAAGAAAAATCTCTTTCAATGTCACTGTTGAAATTATGTTTACTGAAACCACATCAGCTTTCAAATATTTTCTTTAATCCTCAAAAAAAAGAAAGAAACCATTTTAATATGAAATAAATACATGATGTTCGGGGCTGCCTCACATGTAATGTATGTGCATGTGAAGTTATGAGTCAATGGTCACAGCATCCAGCCCACCTGGTGGGAGCAGGAAAAAGAAATATGATCCACAGAGAGACAGATATTTATACCTGCATGTCTGTGATTGCAGGTCTGGCTCAGGATTCAACCCGGCCGACACAGTCGCCATCATGTTCTGCTCCACACACAAGTCTCTCACTCTGGGTACAACACCAGCTGCAGCTTTGTCACACATGAAAGTTTTTTTTCGAAGTGTTGCAGAAACAATGTCTAAATTCAAATGCACATCAGTTTTAAAGTACAAGTGTCTATAGTTCTGTGCTGCATACAGCTTCACAGTCTGATTTCAACACTGAATTTGTTTTAAAAAGCCTGTTAAGTCCTCACAAATTAACAGGAGTTTGATGTTCTGAGGACAGCCAAAAACAGTTAACTCAAGCTCTTGTGTTGACCAATCAGGAGATGTTTTTAAGACTTGCTGCTCATTCTTCTCATTTGTCATAAGCTAAGTTGTGAATTGAGGAATTTTATTCACTGCTTTTCGTCTAATGTCTTTGGAGAATTCACTCAGCAGTGAGCTGTTCGGTTTGTCCCCCCCCCACCCAGGAATCCCCATGCTGAAGATTGTTTTCGAAGGCTACGAGCACCTGTCTCTGATTTCAGTACCACTGCTGATCTACCATCCCACTCAGATCCTGCTGGGCTCCATCTTGGTACCAAGTATTCGAAGCTGGATGTCCAGCAGGCAGAAGGTACGCACACACACTCACACACAAATGCTCTGTGAGCTCACTAAAACAGTGAGATGTTCTGTTTCACCTCCATCTTCCTGAGACTGTGGCTGCATTCCAACACTAACCTCCTCACCATGTCTTCTCTCTGACAGTCTAGTCTGTTGTTGAGATAGGGGCACATTCCAACACTTCTATCTGCCATAAGTGAGTAAGAACTGACATAAACTGAATAATCGCTTTGATGAATTGGGAAGTAATTGATCCTTATTTTATGATGAAATCCTTACGTGTCCAGTGTGTCCAGCAGGCTCATTCTTATATTTTTCTGCCAAATTCCTGCATGCGTTCTTAAAATGATCAATACTTGATAAATAAATAAAAACAAGAAGCCTTGAAATAATTATGAGAGGTCTTTGCTGTTGGCAAAACTAATTTCAAAGAAAAATGTTTGCGTTATTTTCAGGTTATTTTGCCATGAATTTTAATTGGAATATTTAATCATTCATTTTCTATTAACATTTTTGTAACTCTCAACATACTTCCTGTCACACTTTTGCTTATATATAGAATTTGACTTAGAAGAAAAGTAACTTTATGTAGATTATATTTTCTTTAACAAAATTTGTTTTGTTTATAACCATCATTAATTAATTAATCAATCAGTTAATTTTTTCCTTTACATGTATATATTGTTGGTGTGATTAAATTGATTTAGATTATTTACTCACTTGTTTAGCTAATTTACTCATTTTAAAACACATTGGCATGATTTGAATGATTTTACTAGCATGAATGTTCTTTTATATGAACATACAGTGATTTATTTAATGTATTATAAATTGAATTAATTATGAAATTTTAATAGCAAATCAACATTTGGATTGAATTTTGAATGTAATAAATTTTTGAAGATTTTAAATGTATAGAATCCCTGCTTTGTCCACTATCTACAAATTGGTTACAGAATCCAATTTAAGTTACCTTTTCAAAGATGCAGTTAGTTTCCTGGAATTCCATGCATTAAAACAACTGGTCAGCTGGACTCCGTGCTGCAAACAAAGCACCTGTTTTGATGCCAAAACCTGGTGGTGGACTCTCTTCCTGCGCATCTCGGCTCGGAGTTCCGTTCAGTTTGAATCTTGACTGACGCGTTCCGCCTCTTTTGTCTCCGCAGGCAGTGAAACTCTCAACCCTCCAGCCCATCTGACGGGATGAAACCAGAGCTTTAATGGTGTTAATGGTGCTGCGGCACCAAGCAGGAAATGGTGAAGGGATACAGTCTCCTTAAGTGCCTTATTATAACCAATCAACACAGACCTCATTGTGGGAAAAGTAAGCTACTTGGCTCAGTTTTCTCAGTTTCTACGATAACAAAAACTCACATTTACATCATATCTAGGTATTCTTTTTTTAACAGAAGCTGAGCCTTTGTTTTGGAAACAAACAGTTAAACCCAGAAATATGGAGTTACTGGGACCATTCCTTGTTTATTTACGATGTTTTTCTAATGTAGTTCTTCCAATTATCAGGGCCAATGCTCCACTCATGCAGCAACAAAGTGCTAGAAAAAAAGGTCTAACTTTGGGAAAATCCAGCTTTTGGACTTTGCCTTTTTTTTTTTTTTTTTTTAAGAATTCAGAAATAAGGGCATAACTCAAACATCTGGATCCCGTTTTGCTTTCATAGGTAAGTGGTGACTGTATGATAATTACAAATCATCAGAAGTGGAGCTACTAAAGAAAAAAAGGTATTATCCCTTATTCATGTCCCAATTGTGAAATTACAGCACAGAGTATTTAATTGAAACCTGAAAAAAGTGACCAAATAGAAATACACAAGGAAGAAAACTCAGGGACTCTTGAGCACTATTTCTGTCAAACATTCTCGGGTCTCCACTTTGTATTATTCAGTTGTTTTATTAAAATTCTGACAACTGCTGCACTAGGTTTTCTCTTCAAACTTTTCCTTTTTCCTCTGCCAGCTCTCTGGGAAATGCTTAAACCAGGTGCCATCTGAAGACAGTTTCTGCTCTCAGATCACCGGGAAAGCACAGACCAGATCTGGGGATACTAATAAAGAAGTGCTGTGGTTTTTCTGCCCGTAACCCATAAATCTTCATTAAAGTGTTATCAGCTTAGCATCATTTAAGCTTCCAAAAGATCTCAAACGGTTGGCACTTATCTTAAAACCTGATTGATGTCCAATGATTCGGTCATTTTTTATGGCTTTTAAGGGGCTGCAGAATCGGACAGCGACACTGTTGTTTTATAACTATACCCTCCAAGAGGATGTTAGCAGTTTGTTCTCTTCACTGTAATGTTGACATTCTTTTGAATGTATGCCGTGTGCCTTTTTAACATTTAAATATCCCAACTAGTGATTCCAAAAACTGGGAAAGCTGGACAGAATGCAGTGATGTAGGCCTTTCTTTGGTATTTTTTGTATTTCTGTTGATATTTGAATGAAATCGGCGTTAAAAACAACATATGAGATGTTACAGGAAAAAAGTCTTGACTGCTAAGTCAACTGAGTACTCTGTTACAGGAGAGCCACGCTTTCCACGCTGTTGTGATGCATAAAGGAGTTGGCATTGTGTTACACTTCTATGCCACTTCCAGATTAATTGAGGGAGTTACCTTACATTCAATTGGATGTATAAAGTTTTCCACTTTTTACTGACAATGTTACTGGTTACACATAACAATTAAACACTTTTACCATAAAAGTACAATTTAAACCTTCAGTTGAACTGCAAATGCAAAGTTGACCTCTTCTCTCTGTTTACTGTGATTGTTCTGTTTGTTTCAATGAAAGATTGTGATGAGATGTTTCTAGGTTAGTTTTTGTATTCTTGAACTTTTTTGATTGAAAAATAACTATATTTTCTTTATATTTATAGGCATCATTTACCAACCCAATTCCCAATACTGTAGTCACTGGGGTTTTGTTTTTCTCCTCTTTTATCATTCAAACATTTCTAACGAGCACTTAATTTGTGCCCAGGGCTCAGTACATTTAAAATAAATCCTGCTTTGACCAAATGGTATAAGTCATTCATTTCTCTCCTACTTCACTTTTTTGGAACAGTTGTCTCCTCTGTCTATCATTTGGAAAAATTAAGGCTTTGTGTTGCCCGTAACAAACACATCACCCAGCATTGCACTTATTATTATAATTAAATCCTCAAACTGGAGAAAAAAAAAAGGAAATGAATACACACTGTAGTCCAGTACTCAGACTTAACAATAAGCCTCTAAACCTGGATGTCAAAGTCTTCCATGTATGTAAATAACAGGTAAACTCAGGTAAACAGCCCTAGTGTCACAATGTTCATACACAGTGCATGTGTGTATTGATCACAATCTTAGTTCCCATCATGTCAAAGACATAAATCTCTACATTTAAAAAAAACACAGATCATTTTCTTCAGTTTTTAATTAGTAAAGACATAAACAATGTAAATGCATTATCACTTCTTAAATGAACATACACTGGGTTGTCAACATCAAGCATAATCACAACAACATTGGCATTTAAAAACTCCTGTACATTTGTTAACCAGGGAAAACGAGGAAATGATGGGTCATGTGATCTTGCAGAGGCTGCCTGAAGAGTTTGGACAGGGTTAATAAAAACTTTTATTTTGATTCTAGAGAACAACATTACCCTTTTAAAGAAAGAAAAAAAAGCAGTTAGGACATTTCTAAATGAAAAATCTGTCTATGAATATTGATCATCAATGAGTACTGTTTTTACTTCTATTGTTTTTAATTAGTTTCCAGGTGATGCCAGAACATCATACTCAGTCAAAAGCACAAAACTGTTTTCTCTGATTTTGCGGACTCTGACTAAATCTCCACACTCCTGGACGTGGATAAGCCCTCTCTCCCCTCTCCCGTACTCTCTCTCCCTGTCATTCAGAGTCACCTCCGTCCGCCTGCCGCAGGCCTGCCGGTACATGTACCGTACTCCAACCATCAGCACCATACCTAAAGCAGCGGAGCAGCCCAGCAGTATACCCAGCTCCCAGGTACTATGTCTGGGAATGATGTCTGGATACTTCCCTTCAATTTTTGGAAGGTCGGAAGGATGTTTGGGTTTGATGTCAATGTTCGGAATTTTCGATTTGAACTCCTGGCCATAATTCACCCTGAGGTTTGGATAGGGTTTGGGATTTGGATGAACAACCGTCTGTGTTGGTACATTCAGATCTGGGTCAGGATTAGAGGGGCGAATGTGTGTCTGGACTGATGTGATATTTTTAGAGGGTACTAAGGATGCCAGAGGTGTATGTAGAGAGCGATGGAGAGATGGGGAAGGCCCCGAATTAGGAGAGGTGATGGATGAGATGAAAGGAAATGTGGAATGCTCTGTAAAGGTGGGAGCTGTTGAGGTAGAGGTGGATGAGAAAGAAGGTGGTGGTAAAGTTGGTGAAAAGGCCAATGAAATGGAAGTTGCTGGTGATGATAGAGCTAGGGACACAGTGGAAGAGGAAGAACAGAAAATGTTAGAACTTCTGAGGCACAGAGAAGAGTTGAAAGAAAACGGGGACGAATCAGATTTTAGCCCTGAGGAGAGTTGAGTTGGGGATGAATAGTTGGAGTAGTTTGAGGAAAGAACAGTAGAAGATGTAAGAAAGAATGGCAGAGGGGAAGTAAGGGAAGATTGGGTAGTGGATAAGTGAGGTGTGGAAACTGGGAAAGGAGATGGGAGGGCAGAAAAGGCTGGGGCTGTTTTGGGTTGTTTCTTTGAAGAGGGGTAAGTTGAATGGATGGGCAATGTTGACCTTAAGACTGGAAACATGGATTCCAGGGTTGAGCCAGCTGACTGATGTAGATGAGTGGCAGTACTTGGATGAACAACATCGGAGGTTTGGAAAGAGTTCATGGAGAGAGACGATGAGTCAGGTTTTTTGGAACTTGAAAAAGAGGGTTTAGGACTGACAGAGGAAGCAAAACCAAAGACCAGACTTGTCGCGTTGATCTCTGCTGGAGACTGTAGATCTTCCTCCAAAGTGAAGACTGGATAAGACATTGATTGAGAGGATAGAGGGCTGCTTTGAGGAGTCACAGGGGATTGACTTAAAGTATCAAAGTAAAGGGATTGAGGAGAGGTACTTGAAACCTGTATTGCTGTATCAAATTGTGAAAAGCTTGGCAGAGTCTGAGTGGTTGTGCTTCCTGTCGAGGGTTGTCGAATGATGCTACGGGTATGAGGCTGCAGAGGGCTGCTCACGGTTGTTTGATGTGAGTGGGTTTTCTCCGTGGTGCTTTTGCCTCCTGATGTTCTGCTTTTAGGCTGTCTTACAGTATTGTCAGATTGGATGTTGTCTTGGGAAAGAGTTGACGCTCTAAAAGGCTCAGTGTTTGAAGAGCTGTCCCAAAGAATTGGATTTGTTGATGGGTTTTGTAGCATGGGGAAAGATACTTTAGAGGGAAGATGAGAGTTTTGGCTTGAATTTGAATGGGAATGGAGAGGTGCTTTGGATGTAAAAGCAGGTAAATTAGGAGGTTTTGATGAATATTTTTTTAGGTGTGGACCTATTTTGGCTTTGGTTGTATGTACTTGAGACTCATACAGGATAGTCCATTGAGGTTCCCCTAAATTGCTCTGGGTCTTAAATTTTGCTGGAGTTTTTGGTTCCCGAGCTGACCCTTTAGGATTGTGGTCTGTGGATCTTAAGGTATTTGTAACGTGAAAGCTGTTACTGATCATAGGTATGGTAGTTACTGAAGCTGTAGTTGTGTTTCTTTTTTCAGGATTGCTGTTCAGTTGTGGTTCTTGAGATTTTTCCTCAACTTCTCTCCCTTCAACTTCTCCATCATTTGGAGGAATTGAGGGGAACAGGGAATTTAACAGAGAATGATTATTGGTTGAGTTCTTTACTGCAATGTTTGGAAAAACTGTGGTGGTAGCAACCATTCTTCTTATGTCAGTTGAGGACACAGTGGATGTGAAAGAAAGGGGCTCCTTGGTAGGAGGGACTGGGTCAATGGCTATCCCTTCTGACACAACTGAAAAGAATGCTGGGGTTGTATGAGTCTCATTTTCAAGAGATCCTGAAGTCCAAATGTTGATTTTACTTTCTGTGTGATTTGTCAAATTCAAAGAACTGTTCCATTCCAAAACTCTGTGGCTGACTTCTGTCTGTGTTTTGAGAAACTTGAGAAGATCAGTCCCTCTGGTTGTTTTTGGGGTCATTGCAGAAAGTGTCCTGTTGATTTGCTTTTTCGATCCTTTCTGGACTTTAAGATCTGCAACACAACAAAAGAAAAAGATAATATCAGTTTTAACAATGGCTTTTAATCTCAGTACCCTTATCCTACTATTACTTTATTCATTGTTATTAACAGGATTGGTGTCCTTTTTTGTTTTGGCATCAGAGCCAATTATGCAGACCCAAAATATAAAATCATAAGATGCCTTGTTAATGAAAGACATTGACTGATTGGTGAGTTCCATTCCACAACTTATCTCAAAAGTTTGCCTACCTGGAAGGACAGTGACTTTTTCCTCTTGTACTGATTGTATTGTGCTGAGTTCATCCACTGCTGTGGTATTACTGCCCCTCCAACTTCTACGACTACCATCGCGCACTACTGTGGACTCGATCCCAGCCCAGTACACAAAGTAGGACTGCACCACAGTGATGCTAGAAGAGAGGGCACATTGTTACTGAGCATCACTCATAATAACAACTAAGATAATTTGTTGCAAAACCTTCACTTGTTGATAGTTTTCTTTATATAATAATATGGTGAAAATGGGTAATAGTTTCCTTACTGAAACCGCAGGTCTCCCGCTGCAGTATCAGGAGCCCTCCATACAAACGAGAGGTATCTTTTCCGCTGTTTGTCAGAGTGTGTGACAGTGTCGCCCTCTGAGAGGCAGTGCAGGGTGCGAGTACCTGAGGGCGTTAGGATCCAAGACCCACCTGCCAAAAGTGGGCCAAGTGCCACAGATCTCACTCCAAAACCTCTTCTGGCCCTATGCTTCCTATTTCCAACGCTGCGAGCCTGAAGCAGGAAACCCATGAAGTCCCGAGAGCTTCGGACAGTCACTGACATGGGCATGTGCAGACAACAAGACATTTTTAAAAAACATACTCAAGAGCTCCAGTTTCCTGTTGTTCCTAAACGAACAGCTCTTACCTAATAATTCAAACAATGATAGTTCGTACCTGTTATTAGCTGTCCAGGGTAGTACGATAAGGTAGAAGTGCGTATAGAGACATAGCTGTGTTGTGGGTCCAGGGAATGAGCACGTATGTGACCAGGAATCATGTCCAGACAGGCGGCATGGCCCGCACCATGGGAGAACGACGCACTGGGCGGGGCCAGCAAGCATAAGACCAAAGACAACCAGGAAAAAAGGAGGGTGGCCGACATCGCTAAACACACACAAACACACATCGCATTACTTTTCTGTCAGCTCAGTCAAAGCATTGAGAAACGTCAAAGCACAGGACAAAATCAAGGATAAGCAGCGAGAAAGAGAAGTGGCAAACTAATAGTGTCATACATCTTTCCCAACCAAAAAATGATAAATTCAGTGTTTAGGTTTCATGCGGTGTGGCCAAACGACAACAATAACAGTGATTTTCTAGGATTTCTGTTCTTGAAATACAAGCTCTGATGACACAGTACACTATCCCTTCATCTGTCTGAAAGGTAGACACAGCAGAAAAAAATTATTTGTATTTATTTCAGAAAGACAAGAGTTGTCAGCAGACTTTAATCCATGGCTTTTTCTCAGTTTGGTGGAGCACTATCCTCTCAGCCAAGATTAAATGTCCAATATTCAGTGGCAGCTTCCCCCAACAGTAAATTAGTATCTTTTAGCTTTAGATGTATTTGTTATTAGTTCTCCATCTTTAAAAGTTCACACTTGCAAGCTTATTGTTGGCAAGAAAAACAGAAATAGTCATCTGTATTAAACATGCTAATGGTATTTATTTTAAAAACCGACTCCACAAATCAGGAGACAACAGGAGGATTGTACCCCGAGTGTGTACAGGTTCAAGGTGTATTTGAAACCAATTTTAATGAGACCAGATAATATACTTGGAAACTAGAACATTTTATTCTTACTTCTATTTGTGCTTTTGTCATTGCTGTCTCTCTGAAACATAATTTTCTGTTAGATTAGTATTTCACACTAAACAAATTTCTCTAAATTAACAGCTTGCAAATATGAATCCTAGTGCAACAGCAGCATGGGTCAGTATTGTGATAGCGCACCCTCACCTTTGCAGAGCAGTGATCTCCCAAGTGTCATGAAAACTTCAAACTTCTTCAGTCCACAGTGAGTCACTTCCAACTCAGTTTTGTTATTGAGCTTTGAAATCTCCTGGAGTGCTGGAATTCTATTACAGAGCTGTGTCTGATTTCCTAAAGTGTGTAAAGATGACCCTGAAATGCAAGGAGATTTGGGGGAGACCAGGATGTGGAGGGAGGGGGACGTCACATAGAACCAGATCTAGTAGATCTACCTACTATATCCTCTGACTTAAGCTTATAGTTTTAGTTGTCAGTTTCGATATTTGAACCGAGAAATTTCTAAAAAGAAAACATTTCTACATGGTCAGGAAAGATATGAGCCCATTCTAACTTTGCACTGCTACCATTTTTATTAACAAAACCAAATAAAACAAATAATCCTATTTGTAAAATGCAGTCGAGAATTTTTTAGAATCAAGATATTAGAAATGTAAGTGTCTGTGTAAGTTGACAAAAGAGAAGGATAATGGAGAGAAGGATAATAACAACCTCAGATCTGCTTGTAGTGGATACACAAATTCATACACAGCAGAATTTTTCTGACAAAATGAGTTTTCTAAGGTATGTCACAACACTTTACATCCTTTTTAACACTGGGCTTTAAAATGTGTAACAAATGGTAATGAAAAATAGCTGTCCCTCTGTTTACATCACCCATAAATGATTATGACTTTTAAAGAGAGTTATATCGGCTGCTATTTATACTGTTCAGAACACGCACCAGCTAATAAATGACGAATACTAAATTTACACCAAAGTTTATAGAGGACTTGCTTCAGTTTTACAGAGTACGGGCTGTAACTCTTTTCTGGAGAGACTAATTCTCTGGGATTTAACACACCACCTCACTACACTAACAGGATGTACACCAGCTGTAGCTGCCTCCCCACCAGGATCTCCCAGAACCCTCTATTGATCTTTTCCTTCTGGCAAGTGCACAGCTCACTCCAGTTGAGGCTGGTGATTATTTGCAAAGGTCAAGCTTACGGGCTCTGTCAATCCTACTTGAGTGTAACTTTGTTTCTGAGGTTTCCTAAGTTGCTCTTCAGTTAAAGAAAGGTCATTTTGAGATAGGAAATATCTTCTTCAGATCAGTTTTCTGTCGAGGTGGCAGTGTGAAGCAAAAACATTTCTGATGTAAATTCAAAACTGTTTAAAACTATTCGTTGCAAACTATGTGAAACAGCATGTGCTTCCGACATGTTTAAAGAGGGGACATTTTGTAGCTCATTTAGTTATATCCATCCATCTATTTTCGTTACAGCTTATTCCCAAATAGGGTCATGGGGGGAACTGGAGCCTATCCCAGTGGTCAATGGGTGAGAGGCGGGTACACCCTGGACGGTCCGCCAGTCCATCGCAGGGCTACACAGACACACAAGGACAAACAACCACACACTCTCACACTCACTTCTAAGGGCAATTTGGAATGTCCAATCTACCTAACATGCAGGTTTTTGGACTGTGGGAGGAAGCCGGAGAACCCGGAGAGAACCCTCGCAGACACAGGGAGAACATGCAGACTCCACACAGAAAGGTCCTGGTTCCCCCGGGGACTCAAACCCAAAACCCTCTTGCTGTGAGGCCATGGTGAAAACCACCACACCACCGAGCCCCAGTTAGTTATTATCTTTCTCTTTTGGTATCTTTTATTTCAAAAGAAGTATGTTTATGAAAAAAAACGCACGCCAACATAAAAGAGGCAGTTAAGTCTGAAATCTCCTCTTTCAGAAATGTGCTGCTGTGGAGCAATAAAAACTGGTTTGGTTGGTGGTTTTATTGTAAGCAGGGTGATCTCTAAAGAAGAAATTGCGTTTTTTAGTGAAGGTTGCAGATTCTTATCTCAGAGGCACCTTTTATAATGGAATAAGTCTGAAAACAATAAGAACTCTGAGCAAAACTTAATAAAACTGCTAGTTGTCTTGTCATCTAATCTCGCTCTCTTTCTCATTAACGTGAGAGAGTCTGTTGGATGTGCTGAGAGGCTGTATGGGCTCTTTTTTTTCTGTGCTGTTTTGGGCATGTCGCTGTTTTATTTGTTTAAACCTGAAATGCAAAAAGTGTTTCTCAGATGTTCCAACCCACGTTTTTTAAGCTGGTTCCCCTACAAGTACCACTGGGAACACAAAGAGACGAAGGATGAACAGCTGACTTTGTTGCCCCCTGCAGGTTAGTATGATGTATCATAAGCGGTGATGGTTCATTTACTATAGTCACACCAAGTTCCCACAGTAATCTCAATACTTTTCCACAGCACATGTATTTCTAATTCTTCATCATGTGAGGTTTTGTGTTTATTTGTGAGATTATTTTTGACTGATTCTTTCCAGGATTTGTTATCCTTTCGGTTCAAACTCAGAGAGACATAGAAAACCCCATGCACATGCGTTCTGTCAGCCAGCTGCCTAAGCCTCTGGTAAGTCTGCTCTCCAGGCAGGTTTTTTAAACTACAATCAATACCTGATTATTAGGCTCATCGGCATGTGTAGTGGGGGGGGTGGGTGGGTGTCCATTTACCTGAGCAGAAGAGATATCTAGTGAAATGAAACTCAAACTGGATTATTTATTTTAAATTTTCTTTTAATTTTCTGAAAATGTTTGCTCCATGACCAGCTAATCACTGGGGATTGAAAGCATCAATTTCTAAGGTAAAGCTGCAGGGGAAGAGTTCATAACCGGATCATGTCATTGAAATAGTACCAGTCAGTTCTGAAGGGAATCGAACTGTGAATAAACCTGAGCATGGTGGACCGCGTGAATTGAGTCCATGATAACAGTTTAAACATGGAGATTGGCTGTTGATATACTCATGGGTATGAACACACACACTTTTGGGTTCTTTTTTTTGTAAACTTGTGTGTGCAACAACAACAGCTGCTGAACAACCATACGCTCTCCTCAATCCTCTGCTTTCCCACAGAGTCGTCCTTCCAGTGGAGGCTGACATAGCACAAAAATGTCTGTAAATACCACATTCATGAGATCTTAGTCATCAAATGTGAAATTAAAACAGACTTCTGTGCGCAAAAATGAGCAAACACCTTTTTGTGTGAAAGACGTCCATCAATCTGAACTCGTACGTTGCTGTGTGCTCTCACAAGAAGTGAATGAATTCAGACAAAGCTGATCCCC